AAAATATAGTTTATTTGAAAAGAATATCGCCGCCAAGCAGTGTTCTACATGCATGCCAACATGATTTACAGCTTTAGAAGCCTCAGCTTTAAATAAAAAAGTAAAGTAAAAATCCCTTTCCACGCCTTTAGGTGTATCGGGCATATTTTTACAGACCATCAGCACATGGTGGGTAATGTGGTCAGCATTATGCTCGCTGTCTTTACTTTCCCAGGACAGTCCATCCTGGTACCCATTTTAGGCTGGGTCCACCTGTGACGCCCATACCATGATAAAAATCCACGCAGCCAGCAGTGGGTTTCGATCGCGGTACGCTGGATTACTAGTCGGACTCGCAACGCCTAAGCCACGGATGCCGCCAGCTTTAAATAAAGTATGTGCTTATTAGATGTATCCGAAGCTAGATAGATAACGTTGCGAATTAGATGTGATTTAGTCATTTATAGAGTCAAACTTTAAAGAGGGATATGTCTAATGTGCACCTCAAAAAAAAGAAGCAGCAGCAGAAGAAGCAGAAGAAAAAGAACACAAATTGTAACAACCACCACTCATGCACACACAAGTGGGTCTGTTACCGACTATTGAGAAAATGACTGTTTTGATCCAAAATCCATCCAAAGAAGCTTAAAAAGTGGCGATTCAGTTTTCATTTAAAGGATGTTGACCAGTGGCTATTCATCAAAGAATGCTGCCAAACGGACAGTGGGTCTAATCTTTTGTCCCCCAAAAATGAACACGAGGTTGTTTTCGTACAAATGTCAACTCCAGTACTCACGTGTATATGATTTCTTGTTTTCAGCATCTGCTGCAGTTACTGTTTCATTCAAAGCAGCAGTCTCTTTTTTCGTCTGCAGTCGAAGCTGAGCCGTCAGGTAATCCTTGGCCTGAATAACATGTCCCAGCTGAGCCTGCAGAGCTCTCATGTGTGCTTGCGGTGGAGCTTCACCTCCAGCTTCCTTTATTCTTGCTTCTAGAAGTCTTTGAGCTTGAATCACTAACGGAAGCACTTGTTCAGCATAACGATTGCTGGATTGAACAATATTAAACTGAAATTAAACATGCTCACCCAACTCACATACACAAACCAAAACTGGGGAAAACAGACATACTTCTTCTCCTTAAAAGATGGGTGGCATGTTGTATTGTGGTTTACAGCTAGGCTATGATTTCAGCCCAAAATTTCAGCAAATCTTTAACAAGGATGAGTCACCTTTTATGACCTCCTTGCTGAGGAGCAGTGGTGGATTTTTCCACTCTACTCTCTCTTTCCTCAAAGTGGGTCACAGAACTCTTACCTTTCCTCAAAGTGGGTCACAGAACTCTTACCTTTCCTCAAAGTGGGTCTCAGAACTCTTACCTTTCCTCAAAGTGGGTCTCAGAACTCTTACCTTTCCTCAAAGTGGGTCACAGAACTCTTACCTTTCCTCAAAGTGGGTCACAGAACTCTCTCTTTCCTCAAAGTGGGTCACAGAACTCTTACCTTTCCTCAAAGTGGGTCTCAGAACTCTTACCTTTCCTCAAAGTGGGTCACAGAACTCTTACCTTTCCTCAAAGTGGGTCTCAGAACTCTTACCTTTCCTCAAAGTGGGTCTCAGAACTCTTACCTTTCCTCAAAGTGGGTCTCAGAACTCTTACCTTTCCTCAAAGTGGGTCTCAGAACTCTTACCTTTCCTCAAAGTGGGTCACAGAACTCTTACCTTTCCTCAAAGTGGGTCATAGAACTCTTACCTTTCCTCAAAGTGGGTCACAGAACTCTTACCTTTCCTCAAAGTGGGTCACAGAACTCTTACCTTTCCTCAAAGTGGGTCTCAGAACTCTTACCTTTCCTCAAAGTGGGTCTCAGAACTCTTACCTTTCCTCAAAGTGGGTCTCAGAACTCTTACCTTTCCTCAAAGTGGGTCTCAGAACTCTTACCTTTCCTCAAAGTGGGTCTCAGAACTCTTACCTTTACTCAAAGTGGGTCTCAGAACTCTTACCTTTCCTCAAAGTGGGTCACAGAACTCTTACCTTTCTCTCAAAGTGGGTCTCAGAACTCTCTCTTTCCTCAAAGTGGGTCTCAGAACTCTTACCTTTCCTCAAAGTGGGTCACAGAACTCTTACCTTTCCTCAAAGTGGGTCACAGAACTCTTACCTTTCCTCAAAGTGGGTCTCAGAACTCTTACCTTTCCTCAAAGTGGGTCACAGAACTCTTACCTTTCCTCAAAGTGGGTCACAGAACTCTTACCTTTCCTCAAAGTGGGTCTCAGAACTCTTACCTTTCCTCAAAGTGGGTCTCAGAACTCTTACCTTTCCTCAAAGTGGGTCTCAGAACTCTTACCTTTCCTCAAAGTGGGTCTCAGAACTCTTACCTTTCCTCAAAGTGGGTCTCAGAACTCTTACCTTTCCTCAAAGTGGGTCACAGAACTCTTACCTTTCCTCAAAGTGGGTCATAGAACTCTTACCTTTCCTCAAAGTGGGTCACAGAACTCTTACCTTTCCTCAAAGTGGGTCACAGAACTCTTACCTTTCCTCAAAGTGGGTCTCAGAACTCTTACCTTTCCTCAAAGTGGGTCTCAGAACTCTTACCTTTCCTCAAAGTGGGTCTCAGAACTCTTACCTTTCCTCAAAGTGGGTCTCAGAACTCTTACCTTTCCTCAAAGTGGGTCTCAGAACTCTTACCTTTACTCAAAGTGGGTCTCAGAACTCTTACCTTTCCTCAAAGTGGGTCACAGAACTCTTACCTTTCCTCAAAGTGGGTCTCAGAACTCTCTCTTTCCTCAAAGTGGGTCTCAGAACTCTTACCTTTCCTCAAAGTGGGTCACAGAACTCTTACCTTTCCTCAAAGTGGGTCACAGAACTCTTACCTTTCCTCAAAGTGGGTCTCAGAACTCTTACCTTTCCTCAAAGTGGGTCACAGAACTCTTACCTTTCCTCAAAGTGGGTCACAGAACTCTTACCTTTCCTCAAAGTGGGTCTCAGAACTCTTACCTTTCCTCAAAGTGGGTCTCAGAACTCTTACCTTTCCTCAAAGTGGGTCTCAGAACTCTTACCTTTCCTCAAAGTGGGTCTCAGAACTCTTACCTTTCCTCAAAGTGGGTCTCAGAACTCTTACCTTTCCTCAAAGTGGGTCTCAGAACTCTTACCTTTCCTCAAAGTGGGTCTCAGAACTCTTACCTTTCCTCAAAGTGGGTCTCAGAACTCTTACCTTTCCTCAAAGTGGGTCTCAGAACTCTCACCTTTCCTCAAAGTGGGTCTCAGAACTCTTACCTTTCCTCAAAGTGGGTCACAGAACTCTTACCTTTCCTCAAAGTGGGTCACAGAACTCTTACAGTGAAAACCCACACATGAGTATCAAGCCTAATTATAGACATACATATACATACAAACACACATATATATACACACACACACAGAGACATGCACGCACGCCTGCATGTACGCACGCACACACATGCACACACACTTACTTAATTATTCATATTTGTTCTATGCCTGATCACAGGTTCTATTTAAATTTGCCAGATAATGTCTGTCTGTCTGTCTGTCTGTCTGTCGGTTCAGTTGCCTGAATGCAAGGAAAAGGGTCCTTTACTTTACCTGCTACAAGATTATCATGATGATGATGAGCTTTCTCAGCAACTGCTGCACTGGAGATGCACATCCATTTAATAACTAACAAATAACAAAACAATTATCTATAGTACGGGGAACTGTGGTGGCATAGCAGCTAGATGTTTACCTGCTTGCCTCAGTATCTCAAGTTCAAACCACCAAGACAGATTTGTTTTGCAAAACTGACCTTGACTCTCAGAACTACCCAGCGTAAATGGTAATGCAGTGGAAAGTAAAGGTGGCCAGCGTGATACTGATGACAGTACCCATCAAGAGCCAACTGGTCTATAACAACAGACCTCTAACACTATATGCCCAAGACGCCACCGGCTTGAAAAGGGTCCTTGACTTACTTTTACCTTTAACTCTTTCAGTGTCAGGGAACTCACTGTATCCTTATAGGTTTACTCTTTATATAGTATACATTTCTTTTTTGTTCTCTGTCCTATTCTTGTGTTATGTTAGCCCTTTATATTTTGATTGTTATGTTAGTGACTGCAGTTGCAAAAATTTTTTTTCCAGTTCCCTGAGTGAATTGTTGCATTTATAATGTGAAACTATAGTACTGACTTGTTCTTCGTGCTCACCAGCTGTAAACTCCAGCAGAAAGTTCTGGATGTTTGTCCACATCTGGACTGTAATCTAGTTTCAGAAATTTAGTGTTGCGTACACACCCCTTTCACAGATCTGACATATTTGTGTGCAGACTCTTGGTTCCTTGCAGATATACTCCAACTTCAAAAGGATGATAGTACTAACAATAGTCAATTTAGGAGGACCTTGGAACTGAAAGAATTAACCAACAGTTTACAACAACTTACTCTGTAAGTGCATGAAACCTCAGTGCAATATCCACAAGCTTCTCCCACTTCTGCTGAGAATTGAGCAGCTCAAGGGTTCTCAGAACCAGCCGTCGTATAAAGCGTCTGTCCACAATACTGGTATCATCCAAGGGGGAGTCAAACTTTAAACTAGCCCCTCCTCTCTCAGAATGAGAGCTTCCCATCAATGACTCAGAAGGATTCCCAAGTGTTTTGCCTTTACTTTCAATCTGCTTGAGAAAAAAAAAATTTTTTTTTTTAAAATAGTACTTGTTAGTACTTTTGCCGCATCAATGCATATGAAAATGATATGTTGAGGAAAAAATACATTTGTTTCAAGTGTTAGCTGTGTATTTTTGCTGTTTCAATACATATAAAATTGAATTAGTTAGTCTTTCCTCTTGAGCCTAGGGCTGCATATATGGCAGAGGTCATAGCTCTCCCTGTTTGGCGGTTCGTTCCCACCTGTATTACTTCCTAGGTGTTCATTAGGCCCATAGCTGAGCCTTTCATGATGATGATTCTACGCAGGGTCTCTCTTAGTCTTCCCCATTTTCTTTTCCTTTCTTGTGTCCATATGAGAGCTTGATGGGGGAGGCTTGTCTTATCCATTCTGAGTATTTGGTCAATGTAATTCCAGCTGAGTATATGGTCAATGTAGTTCCAGCTGAGTACATGGTCAATGTAGTTCCAGCTGAGTATATGGTCAATGTAGTTCCAGCTGAGTATATGGTCAATGTAGTTCCAGCTGAGTATATGGTCAATGTAGTTCCAGCTGAGTATATGGTCAATGTAGTTCCAGCTGAGTATATGGTCAATGTAGTTCCAGCTGAGTATATGGTCAATGTAGTTCCAGCTGAGTATATGGTCAATGTAGTTCCAGCTGAGTATATGGTCAATGTAGTTCCAGCTGAGTACATGGTCAATGTAGTTCCAGCTGAGTATATGGTCAATGTAGTTCCAGCTGAGTACATGGTCAATGTAGTTCCAGCTGAGTATTTGGTCAATGTAGTTCCAGCTGCACTTTCCTATAAAGTTGGATACATTATCTTGTTTGTCTCTTGACTTATTTGCATATTGGATCTGAAATATGTCCAGTGGAGATTTCATATTTTTCTAAGACGTCTGTTCTCAAAATGTTTTTTTGAAATCTAGAGCTACCGCTGCTTTCCAACTAATTACTGAGCAAAAAGGTCACGAACAATAGATTGTACAAGTGTACAATTTATTGTCTGACAAAATACGCTGTGTCAGGTGCATACTATCATAAAAATTTAACATAATAAAGCAAATATACCACTCCTTCTAATTCAATTCAAAATCTAATGCACTCAAAAGTGATTGCTTGTTTTACCAGGCCACGCATAGGTTCATGGCCATGTCTTTTTATCTGCACAAATTTGGATGAAAGTGATTCATCCTTGTGGCTTCAATGAATACAGAAAATTATTCAAAGGAATAAATTGTGCAGTCTGCTATTTGTGTCTTTGTTCAAATTTACATTGGAGAACACTGCTTTAATGATTGCTAACTCTGAATTATTAGAACAGTCACCCAGTCAGAAATTGTTAGCATGGAAGAGGTAGGAAAATGCCCAGCCTACAATCCCAATCTGTCACCATGTTACTTTCAAACGATCAATCATTCTGACCCTTCGGGGCTTCTGCCTAAAGGTTTATCCCACATCCTGAGATTAAAACAACAGACCAACAAGGCTGATCCCAGATACCCTATTAAACCTCCAAAGAAATTATACATCAGGCACCTGTAACAGACACACCAGCCAGGTGTAGAGATTGAACATAATGAAGCAAACATGATAATCCTTCAAATTTAAAAATAAAATCAACTACATTCAGAAGTAACTGACTGTTTTACCTGCAGGTTAAGGTGTGACTTTACTTTATTCAGACACTGAAATGACTCTCAGAGGACAACAATTTCACACAGACAGAGATTTCAAAACAGTGGTGACCATGTGCATTAAATAAACAACCAAAGTCCTCTTTCCTGCTGACGCTATCTGTCACCTACTTAAGCAGTGGGTTGCATGTCTGAATCTATTGTGATATCTTTTGATGATCCCAGATACACATATGGCACAGAAATGAACAGATTCTCAACATATTAAAACATACATAGCCATATACAAACACTCACAGACAGATATGCAAACATTTATGCATACATACACAAAAGAAAAGATATGAGTCACGTACAAATTCAAACATATACAGACACACAAATACTCACAGACATATAAACATGCATGCACATACATACAACTCAAACACTGTGGACTAATTGACTTACCCTCGATGCCTGCTTCTCAAGCGAATCCTGTAAGACAACCATCATATCCAGCAGGCAGTCAGAAGCTGCATAAAATGGCTGCCACAAGATGGACTGAAGTAAATCAACGGTCAGTAATCCATGGTCCCCAGAACTGTGGTCAACTGCACATGCATGTAGAAGTACTGTATGGGTGCAGTTCCACATTGTGCGGCTAGCATTCTGAAGCAATGTCCAGTGCTTTCCTCTATGAGCTAACACCTGAAGAAACAAAAGCATGGACATTTGGGTCCATGTGGGTAAAAAATCTACACAGCATTTAAGACAAGCTCCAGCTCTCTCCTCAACAGCCAGCCAAGAGTTTCCATCCTGTCTGCACCAGTTGTCTAGCTAGGCAGGGGTACTGTACGAAGCAGAGGCAAATTTGTTGCTTCTGCTGGACGGTGGCTGATGCATTTTTGCTCCATTTATGGACTGGATATAGTTTCGTTGCCCAGCTTCTGAGTTGAATGCATGGCTTGACACTGTGAGCTGTGGATTTCATTTGGAATGTTTTTTTTACTGTGACGAATGTGGTGGTGTGAATTGTAGATTCAGAAAATGGCACGATGCCTGTTGTGCAATGTTGGTGGTGCCCGTATGTGATTAAAATTGATCGCGTGGGCAACTGCTGAACTGTTGGTGACTTCTGCTACCATCAGTGATGAACTGCATTTCCAATGTCGGACTGTTTGTGTTAGCACTTCAGATGGCTACCGTGTGCTTTAATGCGAGTGTATGCTAGATATGCTGAGACAGCAGTCTGTCAATCTTTCCACAAGGGACTGAGATAAACATTCTGTGTGTTTTTCATTGGCACAGGAGCGGAGCAAAGATGGGGTGACCCGTTTTCTATGAAGCTGGAACTAAGACTACCAGACTCATTTTTTCTTCCCCCCCCCCACCCCCCCCCCCCCCCCCCCCCCCCGCCACAATCTCTTCCACAGAGTAACTCTCTTACCACGTACTTCTTCTTCAATTCCCTGGTTGTTAACTTTTTATATGAGGTAAAGAAAGTTATTTATTTGCTTCTGATGTAGGAATTGTCTGCAAAGGAAAGATGGTGAGTTAGAGAACTGGCACCCCCACTTCATAAGTCATAGCCTAAAATGCGTAAAGTCTTAAAACTTCATGCATCCGTTGTAGTATCTGCTATGAGGCTAGCTTTAAATTGTAATTTCTAGATACATTTGAAGCTCACATATAACTATCACTTTTATTTGGGTTGGGTTAGAAGGACAGCTGGACCCTGTCCTTATTGTCAGCTACAAATGCAGAGTTCTAGTTCCGAGCGTACCAGTTTAATGATATGTTGACTTTGTGTTTGCTCTGACAGAAGATGTTTCAGCAGTTATAATGGTACCATCTGTTATAAAAGCAAGTCGATGAAAAAACACACACACATACTTGTCATAAAAATTCTTGCCAGGTCTGAAGACTGAAACTGGAAATAACAATAGGTATTTGGTATATCCTATCAAAAACACATACTTGGACTATCCCATTAGGAAGTAATATATAATTAAATCTGATATATTTCAGCAAAACATATACTTGGACTTTCTCATTATGAAGTAATAGAATTGTACATTTGGTATATTCTAGCAAAAATATATATTTACATTTTCACATTAGGAGGTGATAAAATTGTACATTTAGTATATTCTAGTAAAACATATATTTGGACTTTCACATTAGGAAGTAATCACAAAATGCAGTCGGTATCTTCTAGTAACAGCATAAACAAATTATAGTTTGAAATACTTTATTATAAGCAGATATTTACAATGTACATACAACATCTTCTAACAAGAATCCAGTTATTTTACTTGGACTGTAAAATTAGGAAGTAATTGCAATGTAAATATGAAAGATTTCAGCAAAAACAAGTAAAGATTATACCTACCACAGCTCTTCTGAAACAAGAGAACATATTTGTCAATATTTTCATGGTAGCACCAGCTGTTAGAAGGTCAGTTTCATGTTTGGTCTCAGCCAGAACATGAGATTTGTCAGACCTGGCCGTGCGGGGTGTCTCTTCAATTTCCGGAGCCTTTGAAATCACCACTGGTACTACTTGCTCTGAGGAATTATATAAAAAGTAGGCATTAACTCTTAGCATAACATCAGCTATATGAAGTAGGTTGTTTATTCTACAGTGTGTTTCAAAACTCATGCAGTCACACTATAACAAATATCTCAACAACTCCTAAAGGGATGAATACACATTATTGCATGTGGTCTATTATTTCTCAACTCCCTATGAGTCCTAAAGATTCTATAATTTACAATTGCGCAGATATGCTGCTGTTTTCTTTTACTGGCAAATTTCTTTGATCTTTGTTTGACTGATAATTTCTGTAGCTCTGAAAAATAGAATATACACTAATTGATAAACATGTGGAGATAGTTTGGAAATCAGTTCATATATGCAGCGCGATAAGTTTAAAACAATATAAGATCCCTTTTCATGCCTTAGGCGCATCGGGCACATGGGAAGAGCACCCACATTTTTACAGACCAATCGGCACTATGTATTATGCCCATGCATGGTGTTTATTTTGATAGCCTATTCCCCACTCAACGAAAAATCCACAACTTATGTTGGAAATGATCACCTGAGAGTGAAATGTCTCTATGAAACACGTGCAGTCTGATGTTTTCAAAAGTTCCCAAGACTCAATTCACTCAAGTGCTCTAAGGATACTCATTGTTGGGCTTTGAGTCAGTGTCTGTTCTGTCATATACCACAATTAGGGCCATATTAAAACATAATGTTCATTTACATTTTAACAAAAATACTTATAAGGACATGATTATTAACATCATCAATCATCATCACTTTTCATTATGCCTAGTGGCACATGAGGCTTCAGAGAGGACTTTCCATGCTTTCCTGTCTTGTGCAATATTCAGTGAAGTTTTCCATGTCAGAGATGCCGCACTCAGGTCACTTTCCATTGTTCGTCTCCATGTTGTTTTTAGACAGTCCCTTCTTTCTCTTTCCCTCTGGTTTCCATGTCAGAGCAGTTTTGGCAGGTTTATCAGGATTCATTCTCATAACGTGGCCAAGCCATTTCTATCTTCTCTTGGTTATCATGCTGTCTAGAGTTTCTTGAATCGTGACTTGAAATAGTTTAGTGAAATAGTTTAGTGAATTAGTAATGAAGTAGTTTAGTTTAGTTTTTATTAACATGCTGTATGCAAAACTTCAACAACTCAACACCAAATGGTTACTGAGTTTCATATTTTTAACCTTCTGCAGCACTTCTAGAACACACTATTAAAAAAAGAAAAAGAAATTTTAAAAATATACAAAATTAGCCATCTATACTTTAACAATTATGCTAATTTATCAAATAAAAAAAAAGTTACCTTTTAAGTGCAAATATATCTTAAGTATGTATGCCTACATAAGCACATACAATTGCACACATACATAAAGTAAAGTACCCTTTTTACGTCACTGGCACATTGGGCACACACTGGTAGTACCTGTTTTAATTGGCACTTGATAGATGATGTAGACAACATTTGCCTTTACCTTCCCAGAACATTTTCTGGGATCTATTTTAGAGTTTGTGAAACCTGTCTGCTAAGTTCAGTTATTAAAAAATCTGACTTGGTAGGAATTCTAACCCAAGACCTTCAGGGTGGCACTCAAGCATCTGGCCACTCCACTAGAACGGTTTTCATGTAAGTATATTGCTAGCATATAATCTAGCTACCACCAGATATTGTACAATAGAGGGTCATGTTATTTAGACATAAAGGAAACAGATCCAGAGGTTGATCATGTAAGTCTTCTTCTTCTTCTTCGCGTTCACCAGCTGTACATTCTGGCGGAAAGTTCTGGTTGCTCGTCCACTACTGAACTGCAGTCCTGCTCCAGAACCTGAGTGTTGCGTGTGCATCAGTTTTACAGATCTCATTCTCTTGAATACAGACTGTTGGTTCCTTGCCTCTCCGGCAGATGCACTCCGACTTCAAAGGAAGCTCCCCAATTAGTCGACTCTTACGACATGCTTTTGGGGAGGCAGTGGGTCTATTCTTGTTTTCCCCACAATGGGGCCCCGGATCCCACACGGGCTATCATGTAAGTGATTGATACATGGAATATGCAAGGATATAAAAGCCAGCATCTACAAAGCACATTCCAAGACTCGCACCAGATACCTCTTCAAAACCTAAAGCTAAAAAGCAGAACAGGACTAGAGCAGAAGATGAGGAAAATCTGGCCATCCCAAGCAAGCACATATTTTGAAATGAAAATGATGCTGCTGATTTCATGGTGTTATTTATCAAAAGTTAGATCCCTGTGTGGGTCCGGGGCCCTACTATAGGCAAACTAAGAATAGATCCACTGCCTACCCAAAAGCTTGTCGTAAGATTTGACTAACTGGGAGCTATCTTCAAAGTCAGAATGCATCTGCCTGAGATGCAAGGAGCTAACAGTCAACATACAAATGAGTCAGATCTGTAAAACGGATGTGCATGCAAAACCCGATTTCTGAAACAAGACCAAATTCCAGAAGGGGATGAACACCAGAACTTTCTGCTGGAGTCTATAGCCGGTGAATGCTGAGAAGAGAAGATGTAAAGGACAGGACAATGTGGCAAGGTCCCCAACCTGTGACTTCTGCAGCAGCATACTCAATGAGTGAGGTCGTCTGCTTCTCCAACATTCTCTCGTGTAACCGAGCCTGGTGAAATTCCAGATCTTCAAGCCTGTTGTCTGTGTCCAGGCCAGGAAGGGACTTTGAAGGGCCACCAATCCAGCCAGCTACCATCACTCCAACTGTCTCCAGTGTAAACCATTCGTGATCTAAATAGCTTGTTCTGTAAAGGCACACATTAGAAAAGATACTGAAAAATAATCTTTAATTTTAATCTAATCCACCCCCGAATGCTAAAAAAAAAAAAGACATGGGTTATGGACACAGGGGGATTTTCTTTAAAAAATAAAATTCATTTTTTACACAGGTAACTAAAAAAATGTTTACACATTTATTTATCAACATCTTTTAAAAATGTTTGTTTTGAAATATATAAAGATATCCAAATACAGTAATCAATAAACAAGAACAGAGTGAAGCATTCAAATGAATGCACTCCCTGGGGCCTAGAGCAATTATGTCTAGTGACCCATGCCATGACCCAGTGACCTCTTTCACTGAGGCTTACGGGAACATTCTGAGTCAACTTGACTGTGGAAAACCGTATCGAATTTATGTTAAAATTCCTCTAAATGCTACATTTAGTTTATATATTCGCTACGCTGGCCTTCACAGAACCTATGACATTCAATTATGCTTTTCAAGAACAAATCACTGGTGATATACTGGCATCCACAGGGGCTGTGTCACCAGCAGAAGTGACTAGACTTAGCCTTAAGGAGCAACAGGGGTAGCATACTGATGATACAGAAACTAATAAAAGAACAGGAATGGCTAAAAGAAATGTCCTCAAAATGTGAAGATTACAAGAGAGATAAACAACATACTGAAAATGTCTTTGTAACCTTACTCATTGATACAGAAACTTTGACAAGGAATAACCAACTAGAAAATCGAATTCAGTCCCAGTGATATGGATGTGACAGTACTGATTACAGTCACGTTTTTTTACAAGAAGGAAATAGAAGGAAAGAAACACACGGAGGAATAAGGAAGTATAGAGTCGCTTGAGATAAAGAGGGTCGCTAGTCTAACAACCTTGAGGGCATTGACTCAAGAGTGGACAAAGACGTGGGTGCATGCCAAGCTTGTTCATGAACTGTGGTAGGCCAATATACTCGTAAATTAACAGAGGCAGGGCGACGAACAAAGCAAACGACACAAGATTTCCTGGGGATTTTCCATCCAAATATGCAAAGTGGCTTGGAATACCATCTTTGGCGGGAAAGAGAAAGGTTCATGAACCTTAGAAGACAAAGTTTCATGAACTCAGGGACAAAGGAGAGGGGTAGCGTCAGGGGTAAATACACTACTGGAAGCCCTGATAGAGACACTTGCGCTGAGATCTCTGCCAACGAAGGATGCTGTGGGCATTCGGATGATGTCGATACGATGGAGCTAAGTCCATACTTCTGTTGTGTGAATTGCCAGATAATGCACGAAATATTGCTTCATGTTATGTAAGTAGTACTGTGTTCATGTTAAGTAATTAGATAAGATACAGTATGATAATAGCGGTTAGCGCATCTTGGGTTATTGGTAGGACACATGATGATGATGATTGCTCTGATATGCATTAACTGGATCTTGCGAGTCATTTAACTGGACACCTGAGACATAGCAAATGCTATGTTGACAGAACCAAGTGTATTAATGCAAAGTATGAGTATCAATATGTATATTATAATGATTTCTTGGAGCAGACATCTTGGAACATTGGAGGAAAGGAAAGTTATAAAACGAGAAACGTTCTGAGCATGCAGCATACGGGGGCTGCCCTCTTATTTAGGTCAGAGGCCCAATATCGTATTTCACAGGTAGAGAGAGAGAGTGGTTTGGTGAATGAACAGGTGGCCCTAGAATGACCCTTTCTAACGGCCAGACTGTGTCTGCGATGTTTTGATTGTGATACAGGGGAAAAGCAGCGGGCACTGATGTCATAAAATGTATAATTGTGAATGTATAGTTATGGTGTCATGGTTGTAATGAAGAATGTAGGCTTCTGTTAGAAGATATAATAACTACTGGAAGACCGGCACAGCACATGATGGTGATGGTCATGATAACAGATAAGCATGACGTGTGAAATATCATATTGAACATCAGAGTTGGCGCTGCTAGGGAATGATAACGCCATATGTATTAACATGATGCAGTTATAATGTTGTAAGCATTTAGTTGTGATTTGAAGAGAGAATGATATAAGAAGATATGGGAAAGTGAAAGTCATTTAGCTTGAACTGTCCTCGGCAAGCTGCCGAGAAGGGAGCACACGGATATAATAGAATTTACCTGTAAAGGGGCGGGACAAGAGTATCAGATGTTGAAGTGAGTGGGGGATGCAAGGCCATATCTGTAGCCAGATTGTTGTCGTTAAAGAGGAAGTGCATGGGCATTCATGTGGTAAAAGTAAATAGTGCATGTATGGTTATACATAGTAATATGTTTTGAATAAGAAGTACATGTGAGTTAGTGGATGGAGGTTTATTCAAGGGTATAAGAATGCCTGTTTAAAGGGAGAACTATTCGTATGAAGAAAGGCAGTTGTTTGCAGGGTAGAATAAGATGTATGTTGTTACGTTCACATTTATATGCTTGGTAAGGTGAACTTATAGATTGTTTGAATATGTTTAACAGGTGACATGGCAGCTTCTGTCATGGTGTGCCGGGTTGGCTGGTAGATGGTATCTAGACTGCAGGCAGCAGTATGGCTAGATGGTAGTCGGTATTTGGCTATTGGTTTGCTGGTCTTTGGACTGCAATCAGCAGTATGGTTAGATGGTAGTCGGTGTTTGGAAAGAGAACAGATGGCTAGATTGTAGGCGTTATGTGGCTTATTATGTGTAGAGCAATGAAGAATATTCTAGGCGTCATTTGCTAGTTTATCGTTGGGTGGATTCTGCTGTCAGTTGCTGAGTTTTATAGTGTGAGGACGTTCTGTTTATAACATAATATAACATCTGTCGGTTGTGTAAACATGAGATAGACGACTTTGTAATGCTGTTTCTTAATAAACATGATTGTTAGTTGTTATTCTTTTATTCAATCGTTAGTTTGTTGAGTATAGGAGTGGTACTATTATTGTTAGTCTCTGTAGTCTTTATACCACCACCACTCCACTCTATATCTACTCTCTCTCCTTCATAAGACCTCCACTGACTATTACCTGATCGTTTGGGGTGTAGACTCATTACTACACTCTCCACACAGGAGAACCTATTGTCCTCTTATACATCCTTTAACTATTATTTCTTCTCGTCTGTCTCTCTCTACTTTTATATCTTCTCTTCTTCTTCTATCCCCTCTTTAAAATGTACACACCACCCACACTGTGACATGGATATGCAGGAGAACATGTCGTATTTAATGGACACATAAAGTAAAAAACAAAGTAAAGAACCCACTTTCACACCTCGTGGCATATCCAACATTACAGGCTAGACCAATATTTTATATACAAGCTGGCACTCCGTGGGTGATGTGGTCAACATCACACCAGGACTTTACCTGGTACCCATTTAATGGATGGGTTGCCATGGAAGCCAAGGTCATTGTTGGGAGAACAAATCAGGCTCAGTAAGGATCAGAAACCATGACCTTTGGATTCACAGACGAGCATATAGCTGCTGCACCATGGTGGCTCCTCAGACACATAAAGTACCCAACAGAAATCTCTAATGTGAAGTCTCTAATTACAGCCTCTAATGTAAAGTCTCTAATGTAAAGTCTCTAATGTAAAGTCTCTAACGTAAAATCTCTAATGTACAGTCTCTAATGTAAAGTCTCTAATGTAAAGTCTCTAGTGTACAGTCTCTAATGTAAAGTCTCTAATGTAAAGTCTCTAGTGTACATCTGTAATGTAAAGTCTCTAATGTAAAGTCTCTAATGTAAAGTCTCTAATGTAAAGTCTCTAATGTAAAGTCTCTAATGTAAAGTCTCTAATGTACAGTCTCTAATGTAAAGTCTCTAATGTAAAGTCTCTAATGTAAAGTCTCTAATGTAAAGTCTCTAGTGTACATCTGTAATGTAAAGTCTCTAATGTAAAGTCTCTAATGTAAAGTCTCTAATGTAAAGTCTCTAATGTAAAGTCTCTAATGTAAAGTCTCTAATGTAAAATCTGTAATGTAAAGTCTCTAATGTAAAGTCTCTAACGTAAAATCTCTAATGTACAGTCTCTAATGTAAAGTCTCTAATGTAAAGTCTCTAGTGTACAGTCTCTAATGTAAAGTCTCTAATGTAAAGTCTCTAGTGTACATCTGTAATGTAAAGTCTCTAATGTAAAGTCTCTAATGTAAAGTCTCTAATGTAAAGTCTCTAATGTAAAGTCTCTAATGTAAAGTCTCTAATGTACAGTCTCTAATGTAAAGTCTCTAATGTAAAGTCTCTAATGTAAAGTCTCTAATGTAAAGTCTCTAGTGTACATCTGTAATGTAAAGTCTCTAATGTAAAGTCTCTAATGTAAAGTCTCTAATGTAAAGTCTCTAATGTAAAATCTGTAATGTAAAGTCTCTAATGTAAAGTCTCTAATGTAAAGTCTCTAGTGTACAGTCTCTAATGTAAAGTCTCTAATGTAAAGTCTCTAGTGTACATCTGTAATGTAAAGTCTCTAATGTAAAGTCTCTAATGTAAAGTCTCTAATGTAAAGTCTCTAATGTAAAGTCTCTAATGTAAAGTCTCTAATGTACAGTCTCTAATGTAAAGTCTCTAATGTAAAGTCTCTAATGTAAAGTCTCTAGTGTACATCTGTAATGTAAAGTCTCTAATGTAAAGTCTCTAATGTAAAGTCTCTAATGTAAAGTCTCTAATGTAAAGTCTCTAGTGTACATCTGTAATGTAAAGTCTCTAATGTAAAGTCTCTAATGTAAAGTCTCTAATGTAAAGTCTCTAATGTAAAGTCTCTAATGTACATCTGTAATGTAAAGTCTCTAATGTACAGTCTCTAATGTACAGTCTCTAATGTAAAGTCTCTAATGTAAAGTCTCTAATGTAAAGTCTCTAGTGTACATCTGTAATGTAAAGTCTCTAATGTACAGTCTCTAATGTAAAGTCTCTAATGTAAAGTCTCTAATGTAAAGTCTCTAGTGTACATCTGTAATGTAAAGTCTCTAATGTAAGGTCTCTAATGTCAAGTCCCTAATGTAAAGTCTCTAATATAAAGTCTCTAATGTAAAGTCTCTAATGTGAAGTCTCTAATGTAAAGTCTCTAATGTAAAGTCTCTAATGTAAAGTCTCTAATGTAAAGTAATGTAAAGTCTCTAATGTAGAGTCTCTAATGTAAAGTCTCTAATGTAAAGTCTCTAATGTAAAGTTTCTAATGTAAAGTTTCTAATGTAAAGTCTCTAATGTAAAGTCTCTAATGTAAAGTTTCTAATGTAAAGTCTCCAATTTATATTAGATTTAACAGTGATTAAAGGTGAAAGCACCAGGTTCACTACACTAGGTTTTATCTAATTTGACTTTTGTATTTCTCAGAGTGTCAGACAAGCTGCCAAAGGCTTCACACAAAGTACAAACTCTGTAGCTTTAGTGATAATTCCAAGACTTATTAACTGACTAACAGGTCCAAACACAAAGCAAAGACCAGAATCTGAGGCAAATGGTTAATGAAATGATAATAAACTAGATTATGGTATAGAGGACATAGTGACCATTTCTATTCTTTGCTACATTTCTTTCACAGAAACATCATAAGTACAACATTGTTTGGAGCCGGACTTTTTTTCAAAACTGACCTTGGCTCTTAGGTCGATCCAGCCTTGAGTGGGTACCGGGTTAAGTCCGGGGAAGTAGAGGTGGCCAGCATGATAATGACCACATCACCCATCTTCTGCCGATTGGTCTATAAAAATATAGGTCTAGCCCTATATGCCCTATAAGCCTAAAGGCGTGGAAAGGGGTCCTTTACTTTACTTTTATTCACAACATTGTAACAGGTAATATAATATTTGAATTACTTATTTTTGTTAACCTGCTCAGATTATTTCTTTATCTCTTATCTTTCCTACAGATACACATAAACAGCTTACATATCTATGGACGGACATGGATAAGATACACATAAACAGCTTACATATCTATGGACGGACATGGATAAGATACACATAAACAGCTTACATATCTATGGACGGACATGGATAAGATACACATAAACAGCTTACATATCTATGGACGGACATGGATAAGATACACATAAACAGCTTACATATCTATGGACGGACATGGATAAGATACACATAAACAGCTTACATATCTATGGACGGACATGGATAAGATACCATGAAATATCCAGTTACCTGTACACTGAGGACCCGATAATTGTCTCCCTGTTCCTGATCTTCATCAGCAAGAGATTCAGATGGCACAGTCCTTGGATGATGTTCACCTGTGGGATACACAGAAGTAACTTGGAGTGCTGTTGCATAGGATGAGTGAGCAGGCATGGAAATGCCTGATGTACTTTATAACGCTGATTGTGATAACATAATATAACATATGTATACATAATGATTTCCCATCTAGATCCACAGAGACATTACAGAACTCATTTTATCTCTCTGACATCTTCTTAGTCTGCCTCATGGTCTACGACCATTCATCTTCCTTTTTCACTTCTCTGTCATCTGTCATTCTCTCAATTTGCCCCAACCATTTCAGTGTATTAGCTCTCATGATGCCAGTGATCAATGGTGATTTAAACCAATTATGAATTTCGTTTTTGCTTCTCACTCTCCATTCCCCGCTGTATGCATCTTTGATGGGTCTGAAGATTCGTCGCAAGACTGTGTTTTTTAAAACCTGTAAAAAAGCTTCATCTCTTTTAGTTGTGCTCCAGTTTCAGAGCAATATAAAATGACTGGGCTTTCAACGTTTGATATATTCTGATTTTGGTGTTGCGAGACAGACACTTTTACTTTAGCAGATGTTGAAAAACAGACAAAACACCTTTATAAAATCTATACAGGAAGAAAAATATAAAGACAAAATAGCAAGAGGAATACACTGATACTTATGGGAGGATAACATAAAAAGATAGACAACACTACTTGTGGGAGACAATATTAAGAGATGGGCAAACAGCAGTCAGAAAGAGTATACTACATCCAGAGTGAGATACAGTGTTGGAGATTCATTCAGCTAATATTGACTGTGGAGTCGGAAACCTGTTTGAACGATAGCATGTAATGCACCAGTACATTTGGGAAGGAATATGGACAGAGCTTGTATCATCAATGCTGTAAAAATGATGCTAATGGATAATGATGAGTCTCTGTTGCCAACATGATTATGTGATTAGGGATTTCAGCCCAGTGACACAAGTCTTTGAAGTAAAGTTGGGAGACACTATAACCAACTTCTGGCATCATGTTGACCATTTCACCTAACAAGTGCCAGCTGATCTATAACAATATAGGTCTAGCCTATTATGCCCAGTACACCTGAAGGCAAGGAAAAAAAGTCCTTTACTTTTTCAATTTTACATTTATAACCAATTTCTATAAGAAAAGTATCTCTGAATAACAGCTGCAATGAATCTGATTGATTGATTAATTTGATTCAAGAACCGACATCACAGCACTCGGGGCATTCCTATATGCGCTCTGTCCCCATCTTCAGCAGCGAAGAGTTCCGATACTAATAGTGCCAGTAGCATTCTGATTAAACGTCCGTCTTGCCTTTCCTCTAAACCTGGAGCATCTGCCAGAACCTCTCGTCACTCCCCGCTGCATCAATCTCACCAGACTGTGGTGATCCATCTGCTCCTCCGAACTGTACAAGCTCTCCCACAAGGCACTAACCACGTCTGCCTTATAATGTATCAGTATTCCACCATGTTGTGCAGAGCCAGCCAGTCTGTCTGCCTGTTCATTTGCCAACACACCGGTGTGACCCGGTGAGATCTGCAATGAAATACAGAGCAATCTTGGAATGCCAAATCTGCACCGAAGTGGACTGTGATAATATGTGCAAACCATCACAGGGACATCTAATCAAAATCCATGCAGTCCTAACAACCTACCTGACTTCTCCAGGGCATGTCAGAAGCAACCATTTGTCTCCACTTCCATCTGTTGAGCCTTGCCTTATATAAGTCCACCAAATGAAGGTTTAGGATGTCCAGGGCCTGAGAACACAATCATTGCTATCAGTTATATGCACTCACATAAGGGGATGGGTATTTTGTGACAAACTTCACAGTACAGCTAATTTATTTTATGTAATTTGTAATGAAACCGTATCACTGTCCATTTGTTTATTTAACCGTTTCATCGTCTGTTTCTGTTATGTGTTGATGAGGGCTTTCTTGACACAACATTCATTTTATCATTTGTTATTGTGGTATTGTGAAGAAGACTAGTTCTACTTCACATCTGGATTACAGGTTTTCATATTTATTTTAGAGCCAAATGGACAAGGACATTCCTAGAAAAACATTTTCACAAAATTACAACATGTGAGGGGAGTCACTGTGGCATAGCGGCTAGACACTTGCCTGCAGATCAGAAGGTCATGGGTTCGCTCCCTGGCGGAGCCAGACTTCAAACAAAAAATCACCATGGCTCCCAGGTAGACCCAGCCTTGAGTGGGTACCAGGTGAAGTCCTGGAAAGTAAAGTCAGCTGGTGTGATGATGAACACATCAACCATCTTGTGCTGATTGGTCTATAAAAATAAAGGTCTAGCCCTACATGCCTAAAGGCATGAAAAGGGGCCCTTTACTTTTTTTCTTTTTCTTTTCTTTTACAACATGTGAGATGCGATGTATGAGAAAAACAACAAAAAGAGACAGAATTACCAATGAAGAACTAAGAACAATGGTAGGTACAGTACCAGTAAATGACTTAATAGAACATCAAAGAACCAAATGGTTTGGCCATTTAGTCAGTACGGAACTGGGAGTATAAGAGTTTTCAGAGATGCAATATGACAATCTTCAGGACCAGCAAAAGACCAAAAAAAAAATATATCTCACTCCTCTCTATAATGCTTTACAGCAGGGCTGTTTAACTGAGTTTACTCAGGGGCCAAAATTTTGATTGGGGATCGCCACGAGCCACAGACCTGAGCCCCAGCACAGAAAGATCAACAATACACAATGACTGGAAATGATCCATGGCCACTTGCTAGGCTCCCACGGGCCAGACCTGAGTCCCAGCACAGAAAGATCAACAATACACAATAACTGGAAATAATCCATGGCCACTTGCTAGGCTCCCATGGGCCACAGACCTGAGCCCCAGCACAGAAAGATCAACAATACACAATGACTGGAAATGATCCATGGCCACTTGTTAGGCTCCCACAGGCCTGAGCCCCAGCACAGAAAGATCAACAATACACAATAACTGGAAATGATCCATGGCCACTTGCCGGGCTCCCACAGGCCTGAGCCCCAGCGTAGAAAGATCAACAATACACAATAACTGGAAATGATCCATGGCCACTTGCTAGGCTCCCAAAGGCCAAATTTGGCCTGTGAGCTATCAGTTGATTAGCCCTGCTTTACAGCATAAGAAGTCAGGACAAAAGAAGAAGAAGAAGAAATAGAGACACAGTAGCATAATGACATAAATTTCCCCCCGGCCAACATGATTGTCACAGGTTTGAAAACACATAGAAGATATTTATACAACTGACCTGGCTCCTAGGATGTCTTTTTGTACCAGCCCCATGTTTTCATGCACAACAAGGAACCCGACTGGTGATGTGGGTAATATTCACACTAATTCCCTTAACTAAAAAAGACTCTTTTGCACGTTTTAAGTAAAATGGGTATATAGTGCTAAACATATATCTTACAGACAAATAGGCACTCTGTAAGTGATGAGGTTAACATTATGTCAGCCACCTTTACTTTCCAGGACTGAACCTGGTACCTATTTTAGGCTTGGTTGACCTGGTAGATAAGGTCATTTTTGAAAGCAATCCATGTTGATGTGGCTTTGAACATTTGAACACATGATCTTTGGGCCCCGCAGGCGAGTGTCTAGCCGCTACACAACACTTCCCAGAACATTCCTGGTATGTAACTTTTAATCAAAATCAACCTGGAAACTCTGTTTATAAACAAAACAAAACAACATTTAACCTCAGTTAGGAAGCAATTTTGTTACTATTAGGCAAGCAAGCATGTCCAAGCCACTATGATAACAATGTTACTTGCTTTAGTTAACTCTTATAACCGATCTCTCTCTTGTCTTTCTCTGCTTAGTGTTGTTAGGTGTCGCAGGCATGGCTAATGATTAGTTTCCAGAATCGTGCACACTCCTTAGCTTGCTGCATGGTGATATTACTGAGTTTCAGCAAGTTGTTAACTCCATCTATCCATTTTCTTCTTGGCCTTCCACAGCCTCTTGATGTTTCCATTTTCCCGTTGTATGCTCTTGCAACTGGTGACATTGGGTTTATTCTGACCAGGTGGCCAAACCATTTCAGTCTTTGTTTTTCAATAAATCTAATTACAGGTGTTGTTCCCATTGTTCAAATATCTTTGTTTCTTATTATGGTCTCTTCTAGTTAGGTTGACTGCTTTTCTAAAAAATCTAATTTTACTCAACATAAGTTTCTGTTCTTGTTCTTTTGCTAGTGCCCAGGTCTGACATTGGTAACACAATGTTGGTAAAAAGATGGCGTTTATTATTTGTCTTTAGTTTCCATTTGCATCACTGGATGTTTCAGTATTGGGAAAAGTTGAGTTTAGTTTCAACTGGTTTCACTGGATGTTTCAGTATTGGGAAAAGTTGAGTTTAGTTTCAACTGGTATCACTGGATGTTTCAGTATTGGGAAAAGTTGAGTTGAGTTTGTACGAGCACGTGCTCTAGGCCTGAGGTCATCTTCAGCAAGCAGCGAAAGAGTAGATCAGTAACAATGCTGGCTTGCTGGATTCTGGGCTCAATCTCTCTGTCCAGTCTGCCATCTGATGTGAAAATGTTTTTAAAATATTTGAATTCACCCGCCGGTTTGAGTGAATTTTCAATGTCAATATTTGGATGTTTATGTTCACAAAGGTCCCTTTTCCACACACTATTAGGTGTATTGGGAATTTAGGGCTAGACCTATATTTTTAAAGACCAGTCGGGACTTGGTGGGTGATGTGGTCAGTATCTCACCAGCCACCTTTACTTCCCAGGACTGCACCTGGTACCCACTCATGGCTGGATCAACCTGGGAGTCAAGGTCATTTTTTTAAAAAGTCCGGCTCCGTCCGGACGCAAACCCACAACCTTCTGATCCACAGGCCAGCGTCTAGCTGCCAATGCCATGGCTATTCTCCCATGTTTATGTTTATGTTTTCTGTTTTCATTCTTTTAGTGTAACCTTCCTGGTAGTTCTTGAGACATATATTGAGTAGTGTTTACATGTTCTTGTAGTTGTTTGGTTAACTGCAGAATATGCATTTGTCTGCAGCATATCTATTTTAATTTTCAAACTGAGTACCTGTAATAATCTGTGAAACGATCACTTTTTCAAATAAAAAAAAATAAATATTTTAAACACTATTGATGAAACCGGATCGCTGTGGCCTAGCACCTAGACGCTCGCCAATGGTTCAGGATGTTGTGGGTTCGCTCCCTTGCAAGACAGACCTTTTTTCAAAATGACCTTGGGTCCCAGGTTGACCCAGCCTTGAGTGGGTACCAGGTGCAGTCCTGGGAAGTAAAGGTGGCTGGCGAGATACTGACCACATCACCCATCTTGTGCTGTTGGTCCATAAAATATAGGTCTAGCCCTATTTACCCTATACGCCTGAAAGGCATAGAAAAGAGTCCTTTACTTTACTATTGATGAAACAAACAAAAAATCAACTAAAGACATTTTTGTTTTCATGAGCAGTCTGTGCAACAACTACTTTCTCTTTTTAACAAACATTTTTTATGTCAGGAGTTTAAGGGTGGGGGAGTTAAAGGTCTTGCCATATATTTAAGGGGCGCTATCACTGTGTTAGTGGATCCCGTTATTGTAATGCTTCTTACTTTAACCCATTCTGATCCCTGTGTTACTTTACCGACATCAAAACAGTTACTTTATAGTAACACGTGTCTGGAACAGAAATGGTTACACAAAACAACAAATAGCACAGTTTATAACACCATAAATTATTGCTACATTGTTTTGGCATTAGTCAAAGTAAAACAAACACAGTTTGGAGTGAAATACACACACACACACACACACACAGACACACACACACACACACAACACAACATACACAACACAAACATAGCACACACTCACAAAACAGACAACACATACAACACATACCCATGACACACACATACACACGCATACACGCATGCACACACACACACACACACACACACACACACACAGGTACTATGCACACATGCACCCTAGCACACACACACAAGCTGTGGCTGAAACTTACCTGCTAACCCGCACATCCTAGGTTTGAATCTACACCTGACAGTTTTCTTTACCTGACCTAGGCTCCCAGGTCCCAGTATAAAAATGGGTACCAGAAAATTACTTGGGAAGTAAAGGCCGTTGGCATGATGCTGACCACATCACAAATCAAGTGCCATCTTGACAAACAGAACATGTCTCTAGCACCATATGTCCAATGGTGAGAAAAGGATCTTCCACTTGACATTCTCCCTCACACACACTCTCTCTCACTCTCTCTAACCCACTCACTCACTCACTCACACACTCTCTCTCTCTCTCTCTCTCTCTCTCTCTCTCTCTCTCTCTCTCTCTCTCTCTCTAACCCACTCATTCACTCACTCTCGCTAACAAACACTCTAACTATTACACACTCACAAATACATTTCTCTATTGAATCCAGGGCCCCATTGTAGAAGGAAAAAGAACAGACCCACTCCCCCCCCCCCCCCTCCCCCCTTTTCTCGACAAGCAACTCATAAAAGGTGACTAATTATGGTTTTTCCCTTCAAAGTCAGAGTGCATCTGCCTGAGAGGCAAGGAACCAACAGTCTGCATACAAATATACCAAATCTGTAAAATGGATGTGCAAGCAAAACTCCAGTTCTGGAACAAGACCGAAGTCCAGAAAGTGAGGAACTACTAGAACTTTCCACTGAAGTTTTACAGCCGGTGAATGCTGAGAAAAACAGAAGACAAATGCACTTACACAGAAAGTGGCCCATTTGTATTCATCACCATGCTAATTTTAACCCTGCGATTGTTAGTGTCAAGCAATATATGCTACGCTAAGAGTTAGCAAACACTAGCCAAGTATGTGAACACCTTACTTATTGATCACACAATGATACAAGAATCAAATTGGAAAAACCTTTAGTTCTGCTTCCTCCTGCTGCTGTTGTGCAATGTCAGACATGCTTGTTGTCACACGAAGGGGCTGAAGATGTATCAAGGCAGTTTGTTCACAATATTGAAAATCATGTTTAAAGTGGAGAATAACAGTTGTGGGTATCCAGTAATCAAAGAATTTCTGTTATCACATGAGACGTTAAGGAACATTGCCCAATCCCATACATGCTGAGTCCTTCGATGCAGCAGGCACTTCAGGGTACCTCTAACTATTGTTCCTATGAGAAGTTGGTGACAATATAATAATACTTTAATATGTTTTTTAGCAAAATGGTGGCTCGACGTCGACGCTCAACATCACTGCAGATTTGGCATTCTGGTGCATGCTCAATCCTCCAATGCATGCAGGCCCTCCAAAGTATCTATACTGATTGTTCCCATGAGGGTTGGTTATAATATATTAATACTTAATATTCAAGGTCCGACAATTAAGTAATGAAACTGATTTTATTATAGCCAAGACAAAAATGCCTTCTATGAATCAAAACGTGGAATCCCAAAAAGGCAACCTTCGCCTATGATCTGACTTTTCATCTCCGTCCCATAAGCAGACAACAAACAAGCTGCCATTTTGTTAACCTAGTCAGAGGTGCATTGTTACGTAATCAGCATGGAGCAAAAAAAAAAAAGCTAACATTAAATTCAATTAAAAAACTCAGAAAAGTTTATCGGGATAACTGTTTATCTCGTGCACAGATTTTCAGCTGGTTTTCATGATTCAAAATTGGTGTGGAAATAATTACTAATGCAACTAGACCTCGACGCCTAATTTCTGTTCGTCTTGAGAAACTCATTGCCAAATTCCAAGAACGGATACCAGAAGATCGTTGTTCGACTGTGAGGATGATTATAGATGAATTTGGTGTTAACACAGAGACGTTTTGTAAAATTTTAGTGGAAGATTTGAGCAAGAAAAAAAGTTGCTTGTCAGTTTGTGTTCATCGCCTGGCAATTTTTTTCCTTCTTCATGACAATGCACAAGCTCAAAGAGCAGTAGTTGTACAGGAACTTTTTGCCCAAAAACAAGTGCATGTTCTCAACCATCCACCCTATTCCCCTGGATTTGTCTCCCTGTGACTATTTTCTATTCCCCAGATTTGTCTCCCTGTGACTATTTTCTATTCCCCAGATTTGCCTCCCTGTGACTATTTTCTATTCCCCAGATTTGCCTCCCTGTGACTATTTTCTATTCCCAAAATTAAAACTGTCATTGAAAGAACACTTTTGTGACAATATTGATGGCATCCAAAGAGCCATAAACCTGACTTTAGGGGCCATAAAGACAGAAGAACTACAGTGGTTGTTCCAGAGTTTGTTAGATCATGCCATTTGCTGCATCAATGCATAAGAGGCTTACTTTGAATAAGATACAGGTTACATCTTCAACTGTTGATTCTTTGAATTTTTCTGGAATTAGTCTCATTACTTAATTGTCGGACCTTGTATTAATAAGTGAAATGGTAGCTCGATGTTGACGCTCGACATCACTGCACATTGGGCATTCCCATGCCTGTCCAGTCATCTGAAGCAGCAGGCACTCCAAAGTATCTCTAATTATTGTTTCCATAAGAAGTTAGTTATAATATATTAATATTTCATATTTTAATAAGTAAAATGGCGACTAGTGTGGACTAAGATAAGAAAAATAAAACAACTAGCAAAGGTAATATCCAACAACATTAAATCAATCAAGAAGGTGCCATCTATACAATGAAGGTTGGCTGCATAGGTCTTCAACACTTTGTCACATAACCTGGATGTACATCCTCTCAGACAGCTCTAACTTTCCAATTCGGCTAAAGTATGTTTTCTTTTTCATAAGCGTGATATGTCTTTCAATACTACCAAAACACTTCACTTGCCTCTTTTGTTATTTGTTTCAGCAACTCCCTTTTTTTAATTCCTAGTCATTTCTTCTTTTTGATAGTTTTTGTTTCCGTGAAATGCAACCTCCCCCCCCCCCCCCCATATATCCACATCTTCAGAGACCAAGTACAACTTTCTGTTTGTTTATTGCCTATACATATATATATCCCTGGTTATTGTTATGTTAACTAAAAAATTACTGAAAGAATGACCAATATTTCACAGACCTTATATTTCTGTCTTTTCTTTTCAGTTGACTTGCTTGCAGCAGCTTTCTCGATTTTATTTCCCTTACCATCCTGAAGAGGTCAAAGACACAAAATTAATCAATTCCTCACATAATTACTGCATAATTTAGCTGGAACGAATTATCAGCCTTGGAGATTAGCTTTATCATCAATTTGCTGCACTCTTGTTACAGTAATGAAGCTTATCATGAGTCAACCACAGTTTTTTTCTCCTAACACTTTAAAGTAAAACTGGATGAACACTAACATTAAACCCATCTGTCCAAAATCACAGTCAAGATCAAAACCTTTTTACTTACTTCAGGAAAACAAAATTAATGTCACCATATAACAACAACAAACAAAAAACAGTCACCATGTCCACATGTCACCCAAAAATAATAAATAATCAAGGACGAAAAAACTGAAAAAATCACTAACTGAATATCTAGGCATCATGATATGACTGACTGACTGACTTTCTACCCCACCAGGACATCACACAAGCGATAAACACCCGATGACACAATGTGCCACCATGTGGATGAGGATCACCGTGGAGAGGTCCCAGAAACCGCGTTCAGCCATAAGGCCATATTTATGGCCAGGCTATATTGCGGCCCCTGGCATAAGCCAGAGTAGGGCTTCAAATAGGGAAATATCGCATCCTGAAAAAGACGGCAAGATTGGTATAGAATATCATCATATACAGTTGAGACTGTTCAACAGTACTCAAAAGATGGAAGGAAATAGCAAGGTACACATTAACCCACTGATTACCACAATCACACATTATCTGATCCGTCAACATTTACACCTGGCTACAATGATCGCACCCACTTTGGATGCTCACTGCCATATTAAAATTGCAACTTAGGCAATACATGTAGTTGAAACTGTTAATCCAATCATTTCTCTGTTTTTTAAGGGAAACAATTCTGTAGTGCTTAAAGTAATTTTTCCCACATATTATTTGGGTGATCTCCCATGTTGATGGTGCATAAACCGATGTTTTGATAATGAGGCTGATTGTGGAGAGGGGGGGGGGGGAGTCAGTTTGGAGAAAGTCCCTGATGTTGTCAGATATTGTCTTGACTGTTTTAAATTGGAAAGTGAAGGTGAAGATATTTCTGAACACTTTTATGACTGTGATTGTGATCATTCTTACAAACTGCTATCAAAAACATTATTGAAATGGGAAGATGATGTTTCGTTTACAGCAGTGACGTGGCAGTTGGAGGTAGGTGTTTTATGCTACATTAGTTTGTATAAACTGTTTCATGTATGTGCTTCAGGTGTGTATTGTTAAATGCCTCTGCTAGTATAGATTGCGTATAATACGGCCCTGCATCTTGAGGTGGTTTTACAGAAAAATCCTTTAAATTCCTTAGATAGCTGAGAAGAGCAGCCCAGATATTTTGAAAGAGGTGAATGCTCAAAGACAACTTATCACAAACATCAGAAAGAGACAGTCATCATTTTTAGGTCATGTTATGAGAAGAGGGAGAATAGAACATGTTGTGACCACTGGAAAAATCTGTGGAAAGAGAGACAGAGGAAGACAACGTGAGAAGATTCTTGACAGACTTCTGTCATGGCATGGAGAGGTGTCAACACACGAACTGATACACGCAGTTGCAGAACGAAGATTGTAGAGAAGCATGAAAGCCCATGCAGTTGGCAAGGCATGTGATGATGATACGGCATATATGTTAGTGCACTGTTTACCAGCTGGTCCATTTGCTCATGATCTTTTATCCCACAGTTCCCAAGGAGATGGGGGAGGGTAGAGAATGGCAAGTATGCTAGGCACTGCATTTCCATGGCTGAAAGTTATAAAGTGAAGAACCCCTTTTTCTGGGCAAATTATGCTGGCATTGTTAACCAGCTGCCTGAAAGTTTAAAGGTTATTTTTTTTATTGACCTAAGGTGGTTTCTCATCATAGTCTGATTACTGTAATAAAGACAAATGTAAAAAAAAAAAAAAAAATGCATCAAAAGATTTTAAAATTTTTTTTACTCATAATAATTATGAATTTTCTCACAGCTTTAATCCATTTGAGGTTTGAGGTTTGAACAACGGATCAACATCATGGCACACGGATAGTAACTCACAAGTGCTCAGTTCTTCTTCTAACTCAAGTCTGAGTCAGCACAGTTCACAGACTCTGTAGCACCGACGAGGATCATGAAAAACTTTGGGTAGATTTTTAACTCAAAATTTTGCCCGGGCAGGAAGGCCAGGCTACTCTTTCAATTTCTAACTGCCAAAGGATTTTTTACGTGCGCAACAATACACACGGGCGTCCGATTTCGTGTAACAAAAATCCCAGCCCTTACTAGCCCTTTCGCTGCTATGGACGTCTTTTCCCGATTTCCCGTACGCTGCTACGCCCGTCTTTGGACGTTATTTTTTTTCTTGACCCCCAGTGCTATGGACGTCCTAAGCCGTTTTTGGACTTTTCCTACAGATTTCTGTTACCTCGTATTTTATTGGCTGAAGGGCAATATATATTAGCTATATTTAGATTAAACTGACCCATTTACATATGATTAAAAGCACTTGCACGTACTTTTAGGCGTGTTTAAGGTGTGTTTACTGCATTCTGCGTTATCCCGTTGCTTTGTTTACCGTGACAGCGTGGTCGGTGATCTGTGTATTTTGTGCCCTGATATATATTTGTGCTTTTGTATTATTCTACACTTAGTACAAAATGGCAAGAAAACTTGTTAAAGTTGATGAAGAATTTATGGAGTTTCTGTCAAGAAGTGATAGCGAAGATGACTTTGAAATGTTTACTTCTGACAGTGAACAAAAAGATTTGACTAGGCCATCAATATCGACTGCTGAAACCGTCGTGTCCAAAAAAAGCTGTTTGCCTGTCCGACGTCCTCATTGTCGGAATCAGAGAGCAGCGACAATGAAGCACCATCAAAACGGCAATAAATTGATCAGTTGTCTTTATGAACCGTTGATTTGAAACCAGTAGTGCATAATTTTGATGACTCAAGCTCTAACTGTATTTCTGCTACTGAAAATTCAAACAGTTCAGTCACTAAAAATTCTCGTCTTTCCCGATGGACAGACACAGATTCGGACGAACTTTTTTTTTTTTTTTTGCTGTCTGTCTGCTAATGCTTAGAACAAAGAAACTCAAAATAGAGTACTTGAGCAGAGACTGTTTGCTAAAAACTCCTGTGAAATAATGTCGGGGGACATATTTTTACTATTGTTGAGAATCTCAAACATTTCTCAGACAACAGTGCTCATGCAGGCGGCGATAGACTATAAGCTTAGGCACGTTATTGATAGTCTGCGTACATCAGTCATTATTATCATTTACACAGCAAAGTACGTCAAGCGGTTGTATAGTGTAGTTGGTATCACGTTCGCCTTAGAATTAGAGGGTCGTGTGTTCAACCCCCGAAGTCGTGTTTTTATTTTTTTTTTTCAAATTATTGTAAATTTTTCTTTCAGTTCCTGCTACTTTTTATCAAATGAAGACTCAAGTATTATTATTAATTTTTTTTTATTATTTTGGCATTTAATAACATGGTGACTACAAATAACTATGATTAAAGTGGCAGCCGTGGTAGGTTCGTCAATCAAATTTTGGGATACGGACTGGGAACAGTTCTTCCCATTAACCCCCCCACCCGCCCAGAAGTATGATAGCTCCGTTAGTCAAGTTTGTGGGCCACCATCGTGCCTCTGACTTGTCACCACTCTGACCAACCACACAACTCCCCAGGGTAAATTTTTTTGGGTGTACAAAATATAGCCCTCACCGCCGACGCATCTCTTGCGTTTGGAGGATAGAAAAGTATTGCGCACAGCAGAGACTTTTTTTTTCACATTGCTTAGCACGGGGAGGACAACTATTTCCAGGAACGTAGCAGCGAAAGGGTTAAGGATTGAAGCCAGAACCACTAGCACTCAAGGCAGACAATATGTATCAAGATCACACAGCGCCCCAGTTTTAATCCATTTGTGACATATATACTCACTTTCTTGTACTCAACCATGGCAGCAGCAAACTTTTTGGGATCATTTCCTGTGATACTCATGGCAGTTTGATATTTGTTCATGAAAGTGAAGTTGCCAATAGTTTCAAACGCCCGTCTAAGAAGAATGAAAAAAAAAAATGATGTATCATTTTTTTCAGCCGACAATAATTATCACAATAAACTATACAAGGAGGAGAGAAAAGTTATTTTAAGTGAAACAAAATTGTAACACGCCAAAGAAATAAATTTACAACCTTAGTCTTTATAAATTATGGTGTAAAGCACATCAACAGTACAAAATCTTGTCATTAAAAAAGCAGTGTAAAGAAATGGATACATTTTCATATTTCTGAAATGCAGCTTATCCCAACTTGAAAATAGCAAACAAAAGCAATGGGGCACAGCAAGCTTGTTTTCTAGTTACATACTGCTAAATGAAATGTCTACTACAAAAAAGTCACGTGTTCAATCATAGCATATAGCATAACATAATCCTTGACCTGTTAGGGTCATGGATGTGTATTAAGTGAAGCACTAGCACCCAAAAACTGACTTCTTTCTGCATCTTCCACTTGTTGAACAAGTATATAATAATTCGTCCTGTCCATATCATGATGAATCAATCCCCCCCCCCCCCCACCTCTTCTTTGACTAACTAAATGTTCACTGAGTCTTTGCAACTGAATCATGTCTCACCATGTGTCCTGACCAAACTTGCTTGTGACATTTCACCACTGCCAAGAGAGGCTCCCAGTATTCTGAAAATTTGTTTGTCTCTTACATGTTTGTTAGTTTTGTGTTCTAAATAGCTAATTCATAAAGTTGTGTCTACAGCATTTATATTTGAAAGCCTGAATCCTCCTTTCCATTTCCATATTGACAGTTCAACTCTCACACCCATATAAGAAGATGGACAATACCAGTATTTGTATATACTGACCTATACTGCTACACTGTGTTTGCTCTTTGATATCATATATAGCTGGGACATTGCAGCTGTTGCCATATCAAATCTTGTCTGATCTCTTTGAAACAACTGCCATCGTTACATAGGTGGGAGCCGAGGTATTTAAAGGTTTCAACTTCTTGTAAGTTTTTCCATTTTATCTGTACGTTGGTAGGTACTTGATCATCATGGCTATTTACGAGTACCTTGCTTTTCTGAGCAATTATTTCCATGTCAAATTAACCACAGACTGTTTCTAGTTTTGTGGTAAGTTCTTGGAGTTCTCTTTAAAATAGTATAGTTATTATTGACTGGACAGGGCTCAGCAGGTAACTGTCTTTACACTCAGAGGAGGGTAAATGTGTAAAGCTAAAGATCAGTTGTACAGCATTGTATGAGAAGCCTTCAGGAAGTAATTTCTTGTAAACTGTGCAAAGTATATGAAATTTACCCACAGTATAACTCATTATGTACTTGACACATCTTATTTTTCAGTACACTTTCATCCACTTCAACGACTTCAAGCCAACACAAAACTACGACACTCCCACTTTTCCAATATCAATTTTTGCCCCATTCCTTAAGGCATTTCTACACAGCATGAAAAACATCCTCAGGTCTGTCCCTCCACTTTCTGAAATCCTAATGCTCTAAACCCAGCAACCAACAATGCTCCTATCAACTTCACAACTACCATATACAGCACACAAATTATTATGAATATTAGGGAGTTTTTTTTTTTCTGTAACTTGATATTCAAATTAAAGCAAAGCAAATAATGTTTTTAAATCAAAGCAAAGCAAACAACCTTTTCAAATCAAAGCAAAGCAAATAAATAACCTTTTCAAATCAAAGCAAAGCAAATTACCTTTACAAATCAAAGCAAATAACTTTTTCAAATCACAGCAAAGCAAATAACCTTTTCAAATCAAAGCAATGAATCCCTGTTGTGGATTTGAACAAGGAAGACACAAACAATAGATTTCAAAATGTACTGCCAGGCATATTTTGCTGTCTCACCAGGTGCATACGTCAGCAGGCAGGCAGCCACAGAGAAAACATTAAAGGAGGACCTCAGTCCCTTCCTCGAAAATGTTCAAGGGGTGAGGAGGTGGCAGGAAGACTGAAGCCTTGTTTCATTATGCAATAATAACAAATTGCTATGGTTACTGTTATTGTGCAATTAAGCCCTTTGAGCCACTCCCCCATCCTTTACCCTGACCCAAGAACATTTTTTAAGGTAGGACACTTAAGGAGCCTTAATTTCTCAGAGGCTTAAGCCTTGATTAATTACTCAGTAACAATAACAGAGGCTTAAGCCTTGATTAATTACTCAGTAACAATAACAGAGGCTTAAGCCTTGATTAATTACTCAGTAACAATAATAGAGGCTTAAGCTTCGATTAATTGCTCAGTAACAATAATAGGGGCTTAAGTCTTGATTAATTGCTCAGTAACAATAATAGTGGCTTAAGTCTTGATTAATTGCTCAGTAACAATAATAGGGGTTTAAGTCTTGATTAATTGCTCAGTAACAATAATAGGGGCTTAAGTCTTGATTAATTGCTCAGTAACAATAATAGAGGCTTAAGTCTTGATTAATTGCTCAGTAACAATAATAGGGGCTTAAGTCTTGATTAATTACTCAGTAACAATAATAGAGGCTTAAGCTTTGATTAATTGCTCAGTAACAATAATAGGGGCTTAAGTCTTGATTAATTGCTCAGTAACAATAATAGGGGCTTAAGTCTTGATTAATTGCTCAGTAACAATAATAGAGGCTTAAGCTTTGATTAATTGCTCAGCACCAATAATATTTGTTATTGTGTAAATATATCATTCCCTTGGGGACATTCAGCCCACAATAATAATCATAATAACAAAAATAAAAAGGTTTTTTTTACCTTTTTTTTAAGTCTTGATTAATTGCTCAGTAACAATAATAGGGGCTTAAGCTTTGATTAATTGCTCAGTAACAATAATAGGGGCTTAAGTCTTGATTAATTACTCAGTAACAATAATAGAGGCTTAAGCTTCGATTAATTGCTCAGTAACAATAATAGGGGCTTAAGTCTTGATTAATTGCTCAGTAACAATAATAGTGGCTTAAGTCTTGATTAATTGCTCAGTAACAATAATAGGGGTTTAAGTCTTGATTAATTGCTCAGTAACAATAATAGGGGCTTAAGTCTTGATTAATTGCTCAGTAACAATAATAGAGGCTTAAGTCTTGATTAATTGCTCAGTAACAATAATAGGGGCTTAAGTCTTGATTAATTGCTCAGTAACAATAATAGAGGCTTAAGCTTTGATTAATTGCTCAGTAACAATAATAGGGGCTTAAGTCTTGAATAATTGCTCAGTAACAATAATAGGGGCTTAAGTCTTGATTAATTGCTCAGTAACAATAATAGGGGCTTAAGCTTTGATTAATTGCTCAGTAACAATAATAGGGGCTTAAGTCTTGATTAATTGCTCAGTAACAATAATAGGGGCTTAAGTCTTGATTAATTGCTCAGTAACAATAATAGGGGCTTAAGTCTTGATTAATTGCTCAGTAACAATAATAGGGGCTTAAGCTTTGATTAATTGCTCAGTAACAATAATAGGGGCTTAAGTCTTGATTAATTGCTCAGTAACAATAATAGGGGCTTAAGTCTTGATTAATTGCTCAGTAACAATAATAGGGGCTTAAGTCTTGATTAATTGCTCAGTAACAATAATAGAGGCTCAAGCTTTGATTAATTGCTCAGCACCAATAATATTTGTTATTGTGTAAATATATCATTCCCTTGGGGACATTCAGCCCACAATAATAATCATAATAACAAAAATAAAAAGGTTTTTTTTACCTTTTTGTTTTAGTTATGATTAGTATTATGTGCTGAATGTCCCCAAGGGAATGATATATTTGAAATAGTATGAAATGTAAAAACAAATGCTTAAAAAGATAACAGCTATATGGTTGGGCTCAAGATATCTAAACAGCCATATTCAGGTACCTAAGGAAAGGATGACAGTAATCATTTTAAGATAGAAAAAGAGAAGAGTCAGAAGCTATTGAATTTCAACTAATCTGTACCAGAAACTTAACAATCTGACATGCAAAATCTACGGCTAAATTTGAGATATAATGCAGCCAAATGGAACCATGTAAAATGAAAAACAAAATTAAAATAAAATTAAAAAAAAACTCAAGAATTGATAAGAATGCCCTTACTTAGTTTAATAAAAAAACTCAAGAATTGATAAGAATGCCCTTACTTAGTTTAATAAAAAAAACTCAAGAATTGATAAGAATGCCCTTACTTAGTTTAATAAAAAAACTCAAGAATTGATAAGAATGCCCTTACTTAGTTTAATAAAAAAACTCAAGAATTGATAAGAATGCCCTTACTTAGTTTAATAAAAAAACTCAAGAATTGATAAGAATGCCCTTACTTAGTTTAATAAAAAAACTCAAGAATTGATAAGAATGCCCTTACTTAGTTTAATAAAAAAACTCAAGAATTGATAAGAATGCCCTTACTTAGTTTGCCATTTGATTCCATCATCACTCCATTGTAATACCTGGTCAGCCAAACCTTCTGCTAGACCTTTCTGTGACACTCGGACGAGAAGTTCCATGTAGTTTGGCCTTGACTTGAATTTCTCAACTGAGGATAAATAAAGTAGGAATACAGACACTTTAACATTGAAAATAAAGCTCAATAAAGTTTTCCTAATTTGTCTCTCAAATTAGTGTTCAAAGTGGGCAACATTACTGTCTGTTATATTTTAACAAATGATGTCTGTCTGCATGCCTGCCTGTCTGTCTGTACACACATACACAAATGTAAATTGAGACTGGTGAAAACTGCCTCTAAACTTCTTGTTTGGTATTTCTTTGAAATGTCTTCTTGCATCTCATTTCTTCTTCTTCAATTCTGACTTTTTTTTTTTTTTTTAACTGTTTTGGGTGTTGAGAGAAGTATAAGATTCTGCTTCTTGCATGTCACCATATGTGATTAATGCTGCTGAAGTGTTACAATTCTCAAACAGATACAATTTCTATAATAGTGATAGCGCAATTCTCAAACAGATACAATTTCTATAATAGTGATAGCGCAATTCTCAAACAGATACAATTTCTATAATAGTGATAGCGCAATTCTCAAACAGATACAATTTCTATAATAGTGATAGCACAATTCTCAAACGGATACAATTTCTATAATAGTGATAGCACAATTCTCAAACAGATACAATTTCTATAATAGTGATAGCACAATTCTCAAACAGATATAATTTCTATAATAGTGATAGCACAATTCTTAAACAGATATAATTTCTATAATAGTGATAGCACAATTCTCAAACAGATACAATTTCTATAATAGTGATAGCACAATTCTCAAACAGATATAATTTCTATAATAGTGATAGCACAATTCTTAAACAGATATAATCTCTATAATAGTGATAGCACAATTCTCAAACAGATACAATTTCTATAATAGTGATAGCACAATTCTCAAACAGATATAATTTCTATAATAGTGATAGCACAATTCTTAAACAGATATAATTTCTATAATAGTGATAGCACAATTCTCAAACAAATACAATTTCTATAATAGTGATAGCGCAATTCTCAAACAGATACAATTTCTATAATAGTGATAGCACAATTCTCAAACAGATACAATTTCTATAATAGTGATAGCGCAATTCTCAAACAGATACAATTTCTATAATAGTGATAGCGCAATTCTCAAACAGATACAATTTCTATAATAGTGATAGCGCAATTCTCAAACAGATACAATTTCTATAATAGTGATAGCACAATTCTCAAACAGATACAATTTCTATAATAGTGATAGCGCAATTCTCAAACAGATACAATTTCTATAATAGTGATAGCACAATTCTCAAACAGATACAATTTCTATAACAGTGATATCTCTGTTGACAATGTCAATCCTTGTAGCTTTCCGCTTGCTTTAGACCAGCTGTACATGCCCATTGTGATTGTAACAGACATTGTGATTGTAACAGACATTGTGATTGTAACAGACATTGTGATTGTAACAGACATTGTGATTGTAACAGACATTGTGATTGTAACAGATTCAGAAATCCTGTTTAGCTGGATGGAAAACTAAGAATATTGTGTGCAGAGTGACATCCTCTTAGTAGGGTCACCATTTTGTCCTGCTTTCATTGTGATAGTTTCGGTTTTTTTTAAACATTTGTTTTAGGCAGGCCCATACTGTTGTGTTGATACTTTAAAAAACATGTTTTTTGGGGGGGAAAAAAGGGGGGGGGGGGGGGGGGGGAGATAAGTACTGATGCGACAGTCTGGGCCTACTTAAAAAATGATATTGTCCCGGCAAAAACAGGACAATATGGTCACCCTATACTTTAGAAGTCAATTGGATATTTGTGATGTGCAAGTGTGCTGGGAAATGAACAGGCAAATATATTAGCTGGTGCTGCACCTCTGGGTGGTGAACTGAATACATGACAAGTTAGATGTAGTCTGAGCCATTCAGGAGCTAGTGAACAATGTGGAAATGTGACAACAGTCACTACAGTCTGGAGAGACTTGTGCAGCACAGAGTGACTAGCGGATCTGACCAACACTCAAAACTCAGAGAAAAGGCAACAAGGAAATACAATCAGGATGCTGCTAGTACCACTAGACACAGGAAATGCTGAACTGTTTGCTGGAGATAGGGACTGAGTGCTTATGGGAATGTTCTAAGTGATGTAATACGATGGTTCTTAACTCAGCTCTTCTTAACTCAGTGTGAATCTTAAGATTTCAAAGGTGGTCTAGTAATGTTACTATTTACTCAAATTGCCAGACCAGCAAAGAGGAGAAGTGCAATAAAATATATTTCATACATTTGTGTGTGCAGAAAAAGATCATAATCATACCTTCTTTGAAAGCAATGGCACTTGGCAGGCAGGAGATATGAGCATGAACTAATTTAGAGTCTTCATTGCCGAGCAGATCACTGTCATTGCCTGCAACGATAAAGAAAGTAATCAGATCAGATCAACCAGTAAACAATGTTGTAGTTCACAGAGGTCTCATGATGAAAGTATCCACACTCAAAGTCCTCTCAATTTTAATTCTTGGTGACATTTACAAGTCTAGGATTACTGTGGTGCCCACTGTTGAAAGTACTCACTCTAGTTTCCCTCCTGTTCTAAATTTGTTTAGGTTATTCCATTAGGGGTTTAACAACTGAGGAGGGTAGATGTGGAAAATAAAATAAGTCTAAAAGCTTAAAAAAGTATAACAACAATCATGTCTTGAGACACAGACATTTTAACACACACATTTTAAATGAAGATTGAAGGATTGTTTTTCTTTTATAAACTTTAAAGAACATCAATTCTGTATATATTGACCAACTGCAGAGTTCTACGCTTAGTTGAAGTGGGGAATTCTAAATTGCTTCCATCAAAATTTGTGCAAACGAAAAGACATGGTCGTGAACCTGCATCAGCCTTAGTAAAAGAGGCAGTTACTTTTGTATGTGGTTGCTTCTGTATGTCAGTGGAAAGAATTCATTTATTTGCTAAATTTTATTCAACTGTTACAGTGGTATGCACCAGACGAGACAAAGTGAAATATTCCAGGCAAAACATTGTGCAATCTACTGTTTGTGTCATCTTTGTCACAAAATGAATATTTTCAAATGTTAAGTATACTAAACTGTACTGTGTAAAAACAAACCTAAACAATAAAGAAGTAAAAAATTTTTATTGCGACCTTGGAGATGTGGATACACAGAAGAATAGGTCCTAATTCATGGAAGTAAAAACAATATAGCACAGAGATTCTGAAAAAAAATGTGTACACACATGTACAAAACCCCCCCCCCCCCCCCCCTCTCACCCCTGCACACGCGCGCAAACACACACACACACACACACATATATATATATAATCATCAGTTCTTTTTGTGCCTAGTAGCACATGAGGCTTCAGAGAGGACTTTCCATGCTTTCCTGTCCTGTGCAATCTTCAGTGCAGTTTTCCATGTCAAAGATGCCGCACTCAGGTCACTTTCCATCATTCTTCTCCATGTTGTTTTTGGGCGCCCCTAATTTTACACATCCACACATTCATATAATCTACCAGCAGATTCCGGTGAAAATGAACAATAGGCACAGTACACTTACTGTTTTCAGTCATATCAAATTTGTTGCTTCTGTCAAAGGGGGAGTCATTGCATATCCCTCCATTTGTAGACTGAAAGGACATAGTTTTGTCAGCCAGCTATTGAGCTGAGTGCATGATATGACACTGTGAGGTGTAGATTTCGTTTGAAATGTTTTTCAACTGTGACCAATGTGGTGTTGTGAACTGTAGATTTAGGAAATGACACGAGGCCTGTTGCCGCAGACTTAGTGGTGCCTTACGTGATTAAATATGATCATGTGTTAAACTGCTGATCTGTTTGTAACTGCTGCAGCCATCGATGACAAACTGCCTTTGTAATGTCGGACTTTTTGTGTTAGCACTTCTGATGGCTGTCTGTATGCTTTTAGTGTGTGTGTGTGCTAGTGGACACACTGAGACTGCAGTCCATGTTAATTTTCCCACAAGGGACAGTGATGGACATTCTGTGAGTTTTTTGTTGGCATGGGAGTGGAGCAACGATGGGGTGACCCGTTTGCTACAAAGCTGACACTGAGCTGACTAACATTACCAATCTACAAGCAAACACCAACAATGTTCACAACACCTTCACACTTTCCCATCACAAGTGCCTCCAGAGCCATCAGTTCTTTACTTGCAGAACTACCAGCATGCTCGGCAACTTCCTGATTGGTCTGCTTCCTAAGAGTTTTCCCTGACCTTCCTGGTAAAAAAATAACAATCACTTAATCTAGCTCTGTGTGATAACATGTGTGAAACATTGTAATAAATGCCCAACTACAATACAAACATAATTTATAAGAAAACTTCAGCCAATGCTGAGCTTTTTTAGGTTTGATGGCTATGTTTTTTTAAATTATTGGTAGTCCATTTAGCAGGTAGCAACTAGTTTCTGACAAGACAATATCAAAAGACCACTGTGGACTTTCTCTCATGGCTTGCCAGCTGACTGATAGACCATGGTAGATATGCTGAACACCCCTAACTAAAGCAATGTATCATATGTTAACCCCGTCACCCTAGTGACCTAGAAAAAAACCAATGCCAATTACTTATTTGGGAATTTTTTGAAGAAAATCATTTAACAAATAATTATTTGTCCAAAAGTCATCAAACAATCAGAACAATTCCATTTATCAACCCTAAACAACCAAAAAAAAAAGATTGAACTCCTAATAGAATATAGGGAGCCATCAGTTAACACGATCACAAAAGAGAAATAACTGGGTCACATCTCTGAGTCTTTCTTCTGTGTGTGTGTGTGTGTGTGTGTGTGTGTGTGTGTGTGTGTGTGTGTGTGTGTGTGTGTGTGTGTGTGTGTGTGTGTGTGTGTGTGTGTGTGTGCATGCCTGCCTACGTGCATGTGTGTGTGTGTGTGATCGGTTTCATGTCCTCAAGTTATCAGATGAACTGGCAGGTCAGAAGCAAGCCTAAAAGGGTGCCCCCCCCCCCCCCCCCCCCCCCCAGCATTTGTCCTGAATCCATCCTCTCTCTGGCCCTGTATTTTCTTGCAATTTTTTGCTGTGGGGGGCAATTCTGCAGTATGTGCTCAGGTATTCAGAGTGCAGTTTGGCAAGGACACCGGGCAGATTGTGCAGCCTTCATTCTGTGCATGTGAGTGTTAAGTCTGCAGGGTCCTGTTCTTGGTTGAAAAACTGTGGCTTACTGTCTCTGTTTAGTCTGCTGAGTCTGGATGTCTGCTGTTTATTCTTCCATGATTTTCTGTACTTCTCCCTGATCAGTGTCTCTACCTCTTGTTGCAATGTGGCATGAAGGTCCCATGGTTGCCTTTTTGGCCAGTTTAACCCCCTTATAATTTCCTGGCAAGAATGTCACAATGGGGTGTGATCATTATAGCACAACATGGTTAGTCTCTGAGAGTTTGTTGAGTTGGCACATGTTATCTTCTGGTTCTCTCTGAGCCTCTAGGGCCAACATGCAGTCATACAAGATCATGAGATTGGAGTCTTTGATGTCTCTAGGGCCAACATGCAGTCAGACAAGATCATGAGATTGGAGTCTTTGATGTCTCTAGGGCCAACATGCAGTCACACAAGATCATGAGATTGGAGTCTTTGATGTCTCTAGGGCCAACATGCAGTCACACAAGATCATGAGATTGGAGTCTTTGATGTCTCTAGGGCCAACATGCAGTCACACAAGATCATGAGATTGGAGTCTTTGATGCCTCTAGGGCTAACATGCAGTCATACAAGATCATGAGATTGGAGTCTTTGATGTCTCTAGGGCCAACATGCAGTCACACAAGATCATGAAATTGGAGTCACTGACGCCTCTTTTCTTATAGATCCTTTTATTTGTAACATACTCTTCAGCTCTGAAATTCTGATAAGACTCTCCAGGTGTACATGATTTTTGGTATGCACAACTGAACATAAATGTTTTAGGTCAACATCAAGGAAGATTGGCTAATAAACAGCATCCTGTCTCCGAAGCTGAAATATTTTGATCATATCAAGCGCCACGATGGATTGGAAAAAATATAGCAGAAGGCATGGTACCAGGAAGGAGGGGCAGGGGCTGACCGACACGAAGATGGGCACAGAATATAAATTACTCCTTGAGTATGAAACTACATGAGGTGGGAGAGCTGGCGAGAGACTGAGTTTCTTTCAGGCAAAGCATGATGAGAGGGACGTCCTGCAAAGGACCTGCTACATGATGATGATGACTCATTTTTTACATGAACACTGTGAGCAACAGGAAAATTACGATATGAAATTTTCCATATAAAGCCATTTTTTTAAAACAGGAAAACTCCTCTGAATGCTATTTAAAGTAAATGTAGTCATTCCTAGCCATGCTAAACATGTGTGCAGGTGCAAGTGATAACAGTTAGCTAGGTATCTCATGAGCAAGCCACTATGGCCATTGAGAAAAAGGGACTCTCTCTGGGAGGTTTTCCCAACCAGAAGTGTTGGTTTTGTACCATCTCAGGATGATATGTTTACATTTTAACTAATCTTTTTCTTCTTCTTCTTTGCGTTCACCAGCTGTAAACTCTGGTGGAAAGTTCTGGTTTTTCATCCACTTCTGGACTGCAGCCCTGTTCCAGAATCTGAGTGTTTTGTGTGCATCCGTTTGACAGATCTGACGCATTTGTGTGCAGATTGTTGGTTTCTTGCCTCTCAGGCAGATGCACTCCGACTTCGAAGGAAGCTCCCAATTAGTCGACTCTTACGACGTTCTTTTGGGTAGGCAGTGGGTCTATTCTTGTTTTCCCTATATTAGGGCCCCAGAACCCACATGGGGGTTAACTAATCTGTAACAAATAGATAACTAGAGCACTGAACGTACACACAAAAAAAACATTAAAAAATTTTTTTTTCATACTAACCAGAACTTTCTCGCAGATCCTCTGATATAGCTCCTCTTTCCTCTGCTGTGTCAGCTCCAAGCAAATATCTTCCAATTTCAACAGTGCCAGTTGCGATGTCATACTGTCCCCGTGTCTTTAAAACCTAAGGGAAACATACATTTGGTGAGATTATTAAGTGAAGAAGTGGTTGAACGATAAAGTTATCATACAAGTTGTTGACTGAGAAAGTTATCATTCTCTCATTTATTTATTTATTTAGACTTAATAAAATCAAGTTAAAATTACCTTGACTCCCAGGTCGACCCAGCCTTGAGTAGGTACCAGGTACAGTCCTGAGAAGTAAAGAAAGCTGGCGTGATGCAGACCACATCACCCATCTTGTGCCAATTGATCTATAAAAATATAGGTCTAGCCCTATATGCCTAAAGGCGTGGAAAAGGGTCCTTTACTTTTGTATTTTACAGTCAAGTTAAACATCAAAACTTATATACTGAAACCAAATGCAAACTATACAGCTAGATATAAGAAAGTGAGTGAGCAAAGTAATTATGCAGATTATTACATATAGATGTTACTTTCTAAATATGTTCATTATTACATGTAGATGTAACACACACAAACACATGTATGCATGCACACATGCACACATCCATGCACCATCATCGAGAATGATTTCTGGGATTTTAAACTCTACTATAAATGAAGTATTTAATGGATATACATGTGTGGCATCCGAAAATATTCAGAAAAGTTTAAAGTTTTAAACTTACCTGGTAAACATTAATATTGTTATTCAATTTCCTACTATGTCTTCTGAATCGCGACCAGAGTTACAGATGACCCGTTGCAGGGACCCGTTCTTTAAGATGCTCACAGTCGCACAAAGTCACTCAATACTTTAGACTTTTCTGTACACTCTAACATGTCACACATGTATATCCTTCCAACACCTCTTTTATAATAACAGTGATTCTGGGACAGGCCTATAAGGCTGTTAAAGGTTTTAAATATTCAAATGAATGCGTTCAAAACCAGAAGAGAACTGTGACGTTTTACGGCAAAAGCCGTAGGGGAATAAAAAAGACGAAGCGATCACTAGACATGGCAAAACAAGATCATGCACACCAGTTGGCAAGGACTTTGATGATTCTCTCCTTCTTCTTTGAGTTCAGCAGCTGTAAACTCTGGTGATCAATTTTGGTTGTTCATCCACTGCTAGAAGTGGAGTACTACAAGCCCATCTAATTTAGAGATTTGGCTTACTTATGTGCAGACTGTTGATTTCACGCCTCTTAGCAGACACACTCTGACTTTGAAAGAAGCTCCCAGTTACTTGAATCTTACAACATGCTTTTTGGGCAGTGGGTGGATTTTTCTTTTCCCTAGAACACACACAGGGATGCTTTGATGATGATGATGATGGCAATGATGATAGTGATAATGAGAGAATCTTACCTTAGCCACATAATATGTGCTACAAGCAATCATGTGTCGAAGACTGTGTGAAACAGAACTTTGTCGCTTATGTATTAGATCTTGAGGGATCTCCTTCAAAACTAGATGGCATCTGTGAAGAAGCTGTGTATGAAGTTTAAAAGCAGTCAGTGAGCTTACTGCTTTCAAGTGCTAACTATGAAAACTAAGTTACAAAAATTTTCATTTTTGGGAACCAAAACCAAAACAAAATAAATTCTTTAACATGATAAAAATTTTTTTTTTTTTACAAGTGATTTGTATTTTAGTCCCATATTTAACCATTCCCACATACATGTACACTCCCACACATATGTTCACACTTCTGCACACATGTGCACACTCCCACACACACAACACACATTCACAGCAGTAATAAAACAATAAACATTTAAGTAGTCTCATTTGTGTACAATCATAATTCTAGACCTAGTATGTTTAAATGTTCAGAGGTGTAAAAATGTACCACAAAAACAAAATCTGTGTTTTCCTTTTGTTTTGTCAATGCCAATACAAATGCATAATATGTATATATTTCTAAATTATATTTACAAAGGCTTTTCCCCCCTAAGTGTTCGCCAGCTGAAAGTCTTGGTTGTTCATCCACTTTTAGACTTTAGTTTTATTCCAGAAAATGAGTTGTGCAAGCAAATTCATTTTATAGATCTGAATTATCTGTATGCAGTCTACTGGTCGCTCAGCTCTCATGCAGAATCTCTGTGACTAAGAAGGATACACATCGAATTAGTTGTTTTTTACGACATGCTTCTTGGGGTGGAGGGGGGGGGGGGGGGGGGAATACTCCCACACAAAATTGGACCTGGAACTCATTTAGGGAAAATATTTTCAAAAATATAATGCTCTTATTACTTTTTATCCAAAAAGAAATGTCATGTGAAACAAGGCTATACTGCTCACAGCACTAGTTATTAGATCATTTACGTACAGCTGTGAAAAGTGGACCATAACAGTTAAACTCAGAAAGAATATACAAGCATTGAAATAAGATCTTTCAGAAGAAGTCTTGGTATATCATACAAAGACCACATCACAAATTGTGAGGTTCATCGTATAATTAACTAGCACATTGGTGGCACCTATCAACGGCTTTTAACTACAGTAAAAAAACAACTGGAAAATGCAAGAGCTGCTGACATGTAATAAGATCTAATAACCTGTCAAAAACAATACTACAGGGCTCAGTTGAGGGGAAGAGGAAGAGGACAAGAGGCAGACCAAGAAAGACTTGGATACAGAACTTAATTGTCTGAACAGGCCTAAGGTTTATAATCATAAAGTCCTTTGCATCTGACCATCAAAGGTGGAAGGATCTGATCAGTCAGTGAACAGCAACTGGTGGCCCAATGCCTTGCAGTGTTATGGGGTAATGATGATGATGATGATGATGAGTTTTTCAGATGAAAGCAGATGAAGAGCAGTGTGAAAGACTACATCCAAGGTGAAACAAGAACATGCTGGAGATCCTTTGCAGCCAACCTTTATTATGGAGATGGCACCTGATTGACTGCTTTCAACAAAAACTCAAGACTCATCATGACAAACATCTGACACACAAAAAAAGCAATTTTATTGCAATAATCTTTTTCTTCTGTCTGCTTTAAGCTAGTCTTTATTGATAAATTAAATGCACTAAAAGGCAAAGAATAATAGGAGGAGGAAGAGGAGGAGAAGAAGAAGAAGCAACAGAAGAAATGCTTCACCTGTACAACAGAAGTTACTGCAAGCTTATGGTACAAAATGGGAGCCAGCAGACCATAAATCTGAACCACAGCCTGAAGTACCAGGTTGGCCTCATTAAGCCAACAAGCCAACTCAATAGCCACCAGAAGTCGCTCGCACTGCTGCAGTCGCTGCATCTGACGATCATATAAGACTCCCTTCTCACAGACAACATCACAGAATAGTTGCCCTTCCTTGACTGCAATGTCAGAATTGATGAAGATACCAGCAAGCAACAGCCGCAAGAGGATTGGCGATGACAAGCTCACAACCTCTTTATTCAGCCTGAAAACAGCCAAAGTTTAAAACTTTACATTACAGTCTGGACAGTCCCCTTGTTCTTTCGTCTGCCTTCACCCTTCAAGAGGCAGATAGATAGCATGTTGAATTCTGGTTTACTGCAACGCTGCAAAAGGTGCCAAACAAATCTACTTTCAGAAAACTTCTTAATAAGTCACCTTTTACAATAAGCTTCTTAGGGAAGCGATCAGTATCCCCACCCTACCCCTTTTTTTCACAAAAGAGGCCCCAGCACCCACATGGGTAGATCTTTACAGTAATTTTATGCAGGAAAATTAATCCACCTGTCAAAAAACTTGTAACTGACGTGCACAAGCAGGTAGTTTAATCTTCAATGTTGGGAGGAAATCAATAAGCCATAAATTTCCAGATGGCATGCCAATATTTATTATCTCAAATGTTTACTAAAAACTGTGACTTATCTTATAACACTAAGATTGATCTAAATTAGTGGAAACTGATGATAAAGAAATATCAATCCTGGACTGTGTAAACAAAAAGATAATGTGGTAAATCTAAAATTGCTGTGATAGTCATATGAATATCTTGAACTTGCAGCAGTGAGATGAATAGTGTATCTTTAAAGACATATAAGTATTCAATGTGCCTGCTTCATTATATGCTGACTGATTGATCGATTGTTTATTTAAAGATCACCTTATCGCACATCGGAGATGACATGACCATGAATTCTCCGATCTCCTCAAGTGTTTTAAGGCTGATAACTCCCATTTTGTTCTGGCTGATGTAACGCCGAGTGGCTCCCACATGGTTTTCCTTTCTCGCTGTTTCAACTGGTACACCCAAGGTGTGCAGTCTTTTCAGTGAAAAGTTGTTTTTTATGTAATGCCTCACAACATTTAGTCTCTCGTATGGCATTGCTCTGACTCCATCTTCAGCAGCAAGGGATGAGTTCTAATTATGATGGCACTAGCAAATGTCTGACTGTATATCTGTCTCACCTTTTCCTTGAGTTTTGAGCGTGGGCCAGATCTACTGGTAACTCCTTGCAGTACCATTGTTCTTAGACCCCAATGATTTAATTGTGTTAGAAATATAAAGAAAATTATCTGCATAGATTAAAAAAATTTCTTTTGGCTGTGTTTTTGTTTTTACAGATGTATTAACTCTTTAAAGACTTTTTGCTAGTATACTGTCGAAAAATGTATCCCTAATGAACTTATCGCCAGTATACTGGTGTATCTCAGAGACAATAATTTTGTTCCGTTTGTGGGGAAAACAAACTTTTATGAACAAGTTGTTGAACAATTAAAATTAACAACAGGAAGTCATTTTGTTTGCAAAGTACATCGCGGTCGGTGAGTTTTTTTCTGATTTTTAAACAATTATTTAGATAGGAGACAATTTTTACATGATTTTCTATACTAAATGATAAGGGAAAATGTTTAGAACTGTTCATACAGCTCTGTCACAGATGAATCTATGCCAGATAGTGACAACAGTCTCGATATTATGACTGGTATCTAAGTGACAAACCTATTTACGATAATTTAGTTAGGATTATGAAAATTGAACAAAATAATTCAATCGGATTAATTTTTCGATACAGCTGTTTTTCCAATTTTCGGTTGTTGTGAAATTTGACATGTCATACACAAATGATCATAACATCCAAAGTATTGAAATTAATTGTTTCAAATAAAGTCTAGCTGATACATAATTGAACAGAGAAGGCATGTGCATTCACAGAATTGGATAGCAGTGTTGTTGAAAAAATAAAAAAGTAAGGTAAGCACAACAATTTTTGTGTCAGTAATCTTCATACCTGTCTAACATTGATTTTATTAATATTTTGTTGTAATACTTACATTTAAATAGTTTAGATTTATTCTGCACTCATTTATCTTTTATTTGATTTGTCCGGCTCTCTAGCGTAGTTGGCTAAACCGGATTGCACTGTGAGTGGGTGACAAACTCCTTGTGGTCCGGGTTCACTCCCCGGGGTAGGCAGAAAAGCCACATTTATCCCAGATGTACGGTATTTACAATGGAATCAAGGCCGACAAATTGCGATATCCATAATACCAAGCCTAAGAGTTAATAACTCATGGCTTCTGGATACTAAAACAAACAAACATCTTTAATTTGATATATTGTATGTCCCCATACAGCTAATACTTTATCTTCAGGAAGGTTTTAGCTTTGTCGTGTTGCAGAAAAAACATTCCGCTCAACATTTGTGCTTCCCAAACCCCAGAAAAAATGTGGTCCTGAAAGAGTTAATCTCACCTGAGCAGGGATATTCTGAAATCCTTTTTTGGACTGGTAATGTATGAGGCATCACAAGAAGTGTTTGGCTTTGTCACAAAGTAATCCCACAACACATGAAAAGCTTGGTTTGATATGCTGTAGCATCCACTCTGGTAGGCCATCTATGAAGATGTAGAGACACTCACATTTTTGTGACACAAACAATAGGGAATGCACATTCAGCAGTAAAATACTTCCACATAACAATTTAAATAGGCAACACAGATAAACTACACAACAATGACCATAAGCTAATTCATTATGAACCAAATACATCATCATTAGTAGTAGTAGCAGCAGTAGCAGTAGTTGTAGTAGGAGTATTAGTTTGGTTCTCCTACTACTACTCCTAGAACTCCCAGGGAGGACAGAAGAAGCACTATAAGGACACTCTCAAAACTGCTCTAAATTCTTTTGACATAAAAACAGCAACGTGGGAGGCTGCTGCACAGAACTGAATGGCGTACATCCCTCAGGCATTGTGCATCAGCCTGCCAGGCAGCAGAGGTTGCATAGGCAGAAAAACCGAGGCAGACTAGAAAGAACCTTATATCTAATCCTACACTTACTGCAGCTTCCACCTGTTGTCCGCACTTCTCCAGAATTTTCCGGGCTCATATTGGACTAGCAGCAGTAGCAGTAGTAAGTAGTAGTAATTAGTAGTAGTAAGCGGTAGCAGCCGCGGCAGCAGTAGGAGGAGTAGTAGTAGTAGTAGTACTGGTAGTAGTAACAGCAGCAGCAGCAGCAGTAGGAGTAGTAGTAGTAGTAGTAGTACTGGTAGTAGTAACAGTAGCAGCAGCAGCAGCAGCAGGAGGAGTAGTAGTAGTAGTACTGGTAGTAGTAACAGTAGCAGCAGTAGCAGTAGTAAGTAGTAGTATTAGGTAGTAGTAAGCAGCCGCAGCCGCAGCAGCAGTAGGAGTAGTAGTAGTAGTACTGGTAGCAGTAACAGTAGCAGCAGTAGCAGTAGTAGTAGTAGTAACAGTAGCAGCAGTAGCAGTAGTAAGTAGTAGTAATTAGTAGTAGTAAGCGGTAGCAGCCGCGGCAGCAGTAGGAGTAGTAGTAGTAGTAGTAGTAGTAGTAGTAGTACTGGTAGTAGTAGTAACAGCAGCAGCAGCAGCAGCAGCAGAAAAAGTGAAATGGTTAATCATCATCTCACAATAAAAGAATCATCATCCTGATGTGCCAATATATGCCACACAGGGCTTGCAGTCTCATCACTCATTCCTTTCTATCGTATGCAGTCATAGATGGAATCCAGTACAGCACCAATGGCCTCTCTTGTCAATGTTTGTGTTAGCATTTGTCTTGGACGCCTCATTTTCTAAAGCCATTTGTTTCCCATTTCAGAGCGTGTCAGGGATTATTTGCTCGCTTTTTCTCAGACGTCTGTGTGGGTTGCAGGGCCCCATTTTAGGATAAGGTAAAAGGGAACTAGAGCTGTTTCCTTCGAAGTTAGAGTGCATCTGCCTGAGAGGCGGGGAACCAACAGTCTGCTTGTAACAATAAGCCAGATCTGTAAAATGGATGCGCATGCAGAACTCAGGTTCCGGAGCAAGATCAAAGTCATCAGTCTACAGCCTGTGAACACCAAGAAGAAGACTGACTGACTGACTTTCTACCCCACATCACACAAGCGATAAACACCCGATGACACAAAGTGCCACCATGTGGGTGAGGATCACCGTGGAGAGATCACCAGAAACCGCGTTCAGCCTTTAAGCCATATTTATGGCCAGGCTATATTGCAGCCCCAGGCAAAAGCCAGAGTAGGGCTTCAAAAAATTAAAAATTTCATCCTAAAAATGACAAGAAGTAATTAAGAAGAAGAATACTATAACTCTATGTAAAAACTCAGTGAGACAGAAACTTTCCTAGCTAAACAAGATGGCACCAGTTTACTTAAAGATTTACAAGTGTAAAATACCTTCATTGTTTTTGGTTTTTTCGTCAGGGGTATAAATTAAGAACAGTTGCACTTATTTAAAGGAAATGCTATTTTTACCTGACAAACACATGCCCAAGTCATAAGCACAGGAAGTGGGTGTGAAGCCAAGAAAGATTTTGTTGTCTCCCCTATATGGTCTCCAATTAACTTGCCATCAGCAGTATATGCAGCCACAGCAAACACATAGCGCTTGTCTGGTTCAAGGCTTTCCACTTTCATCACACAGTGGCTTGAAGGAACCTAGAAATAAATGTTGCAATAAATCAATCAAAATATTTCAAACAAAAGCAATGACTATTGGCTTCTCCTACAATTCTCTGTCTTTTTATATGAATGAATGAATGCGTGAAAGAATGAATAAATTAATTAAGAATTGACTCCACTGCACTCGAGACATTCCCATACATTTTCTGTCTTTTTCCTCAGAAGCAGAGCTGTCATAACAGCATTGCAGGCCCCTGTGCAAACCTGTGTGCTGGGGCCCTTATGAGAACCACTTCCATGAATGACATACACAGCTTAGCATGTGGCCCTTTGTGCTCATGGGGTCTCTGGGCAAGAACTGAGGGGGGTTCATGCCTGAAGACGGTACTGCTCAGAAGCCAACAAAGAGTATCCACACTGACACTGGCAGGTGCTCTCTGTCTAATCTCCTTTTTATTGCCAGATTGAATCAAGAAGTCAATAGACTCTTCTTAACAATCTTTCTGTCATGGCATGGAAGACTGTCAACAGACCAATTACTTATTCTTCTGTTTTCACCCTCAAAAAGGCAGCTGACAGACTGTATTGTGGTTTTCAACTAGGCTTTGATATCTGTACCTTTTGGCCCAACACATCTGATTTCAGTAAATCCTTAGTCCCCTTTTTTTAAAACCACATTCTTGTTACAGGGGCAGTGGATTTATTCTTTTTCCAATCTCAAATGCAGTGTCAGTACCAACAAAGGAAAGCAAACCAAGTGATACATGCTCATCAAGTCCATCCTCATGTGGGACACCAGTTTTTGTTATTTTGAAGCCCCATCGGGGCTGTGGTTGGGGGCCCTAATTATAACCCTACAGGCTGAAAGGGGTTTGTGAAACCTGTCCCCGGGTGATGCTCATCCAAATGGTAGCAATTTGTTTCACCTGGTGTTTTTTGCTTGGTGGGATGTCCTGTTGAGTTAAACATCAGTCAGTGAGTCAGACATGCTAATGAAGATGGCAAGATGTAAAGAATAATGACTGCCCAAGAGTCTGGAAGGATTTATAATGACGAAGATGAAACACTTTTAAAATAAAAAAACAGGTACCACCTCTTTACACTAGTGACACTTGTTTGAGTTATTCATAGCAGGAACACAGATAAATAGCTTTCACATGTGATGCCTATGAAGAATACATGGCATTTAGTGGCAAGACAAGATCATTAACACTGAGGTACTGAAAACAGCAGGTATCATAACAGTTTTCTTAATGCTTTCTCCTCAAAGGCTTACACTGCTAGGATATACATGGAGGATGGAAGATTGTAGAGTCCCTAAGGACACCCTCTAAGGTAAATACACTATATATATATACATAATAAACAAACAGACACTCATAAAAAGACAGAAGGACACATTAGACAAAATAAAAATCTAAAGCTAGTTACAATGCTGGGACAGTAAACATTAGCTTTAGATTTTTATGTTGTCTAGAGTGACCTTCTATCTTTTTAATTCTTTCTATAAGTGCTGTTCAATACATTGTCTATTTGTTTATTATATATGTATAATACAATCGGTAGGCAGGCCAAACAATTTTTAGAGGCCTCAGAGATGTTTTACAAAACAATGCTTAGAATACCTTGGACAGCCAAAAAGAGCAACTAAGAGGTTTTGAAAGAGGCCGGAGCCCGAAGACAACTTATCACAGACATCAGAAGGAGACAGTCATCATTTTTCGGCCATGTTATGAGAAGAGGGAAAATAGAACATGTTGTGACCACTGGAAAGATATGTGGAAGGAGAGATAGAGGAAGACAACGAGAGAAGATGCTTGACAGTCTTGTTGCATGGCATGGAGGTGTGTCGGCACACGAACTGATACATGCTGCAGGAGATCGCAGATTATGGAGAGGCATGATCACCCACAAGGCACCTGATGATGATGATGATAATATTTATATGGCCGCAAGGATTTATTAATGTAAATACATGCACTGGCCCCAATGGTTCTCCAAATCATACAGTCTAACTGTGAAAGACTAAAAAAAATAAAGGTAGGTCTTGCCACTGACACTCACCCATGACATGGGCTGTGATTCCTATCTTCTCTTACAGCACAATATAAATACGATCACTGAGAAAGACAGAAAGGTGCAAACAACAACCTTAACCCCAAGTCAGATTTCATGATGTTAACAAGCCTAAAGTTTCAGGAAATAAATGGCAAATGTGATTCAAATGAAAACAAAGAAAGGCTAAATTGAAATAAATACCTCATCCCCTGTGCCAGGAAAACTGTTGTCAGTGAGTCTAACTTTGACATTCATTTGTGAAACACTTCTGGCAAAGATGCGATACCAGGCCACCTAATGAAATAATTTTATGATTTGAAAATTGTTTTCTATTTACTTAATGATAAAATGATATTGTCATCTGGTTAAAGCACTTGAAACAAAATGTGTGCATGTGTGCGCGAGTGCGTGCATGTGTGTGTGTGTTAGATTTTACCACTCGGACATAAGTGGGGTGTAAGTGGTTCAAATCCTTTAGGGTATATAAGTGAGGTGTGAGTGTGTTAAAACTTACTAGGGTATATAAGTGAGGTGTGAGTGTGTTAAAACTTACTAGGGTATATAAGTGAGGTGTGAGTGTGTTAAAACTTACTAGGGTATATAAGTGAGGTGTGAGTGTGTTAAAACTTACTAGGGTATATAAGTGAGGTGTGAGTGTGTTAAAACTTACTAGGGTATATAAGTGAGGCGTGAGTGTGTTAAAACTTACTAGGGTATATAAGTGAGGCGTGAGTGTGTTAAAACTTACTAGGGTATATAAGTGAGGTGTGAGTGGGTTAAAACTTACTAGGGTATATAAGTGAGGTGTGAGTGGTTAAAATCCTTTAGGGTATATAAGTGAGGTGTGAGTGGGTTAAAACTTACTAGGGTATATAAGTGGGGTGTAAGTGGTTAAAATCCTTTAGGGTATATAAGTGAGGTGTGAGTGTGTTCAAACTTACTAGGGTATATAAGTGAGGTGTGAGTGTGTTCAAACTTACTAGGGTATATAAGTGAGGTGTGAGTGGGTTAAAACTTACTAGGGTATATAAGTGAGGTGTTAGTGTGTTCAAACTTACTAGGGTATATAAGTGAGGTGTGAGTGTGTTCAAACTTACTAGGGTATATAAGTGAGGTGTGAGTGTGTTAAAACTTACTAGGGTATATAAGTGAGGTGTGAGTGGGTTAAAACTTACTAGGGTATATAAGTGAGGTGTGAGTGTGTTCAAACTTACTAGGGTATATAAGTGAGGTGTGAGTGTGTTAAAACTTACTAGGGTATATAAGTGAGGCGTGAGTGTGTTAAAACTTACTAGGGTATATAAGTGAGGTGTGAGTGTGTTAAAACTTACTAGGGTATATAAGTGACGTGTGAGTGTGTTAAAACTTACTAGGGTATATAAGTGAGGTGTGAGTGTGTTAAAACTTACTAGGGTATATAAGTGAGGTGTGAGTGTGTTAAAACTTACTTGGGTATATAAGTGAGGTGTGAGTGTGTTAAAACTTACTAGGGTATATAAGTGAGGCGTGAGTGTGTTAAAACTCATTTTGGTGTATAGGTATAAGTGGTTTAAAACTCATTAAGGTATATAAGTGAGGTGTTAGTGTGTTAAAACTCATTGGAGTGTATAAGTGAGGTGTGGGTGTTAAAACTCATTAGGGTATATGTGTATAATGTGAGTGTGTTAAAACTCATTAGAGTGTATAAGTGAGGTGTGGGTATGTTAAAACTCATTAGGGTATATAAGTGAAGTGTGAGTATGTTAAAATTCATTAGGGTATTTAAGTGAGGTGTGTGTGTGTTAAAATTCATTAGGGTATATAAGTGAGATGTAAGTGTGTAAACCTCATTAGGATATATAAGGACAGTGTGAGTTAACTATGTTTTCAGCAGGCTAGAAAAAGGAATATCCAACTCAGTTGTACTCTTGAGAACAACCAAAGAACATTTTTAAGGGTCTGTTTATCCCTGTGTGGGGAAAATGTTGAGTAGCAAAAAATGCTTATGTATCTGGAATATTGTCTCACTGAAATATTTCCTCTTAAAAAAACGGATTTACCTTTTCTCCTGATTCTGGCTCAAAAGGTGCAGGTTTGAACACCATGAAAGTGTCTGTACGACAAACAAGAAGAGGGGGTGGTGGGACTTGTCTTTTCACCACTGGCTTGGTGGTATCTATGCTGCTAAGCAAAATTTTTTTCTCTTCCATTTGAACGCGCTGTATAAGGTTGACAGCATCCTAAAGAAAAATATATGGAATTTATGTATAGGTATGAAAACATTTACATTTAAATATATAATCGCTACAATAAATAAAAGTTGGTGTACTTTCCCTAAGGAGCTTTGGGAATGCAGTAGCTAGATGCTTTCCTGTCAGCATAAGGGCCCTGGGTTCAAATCCACATGAAGACTTTTTTTTTTAAACTGACATTGGCTTGGCTTTTGGGTCATGCCAGACTAAAACAAGTACCAGGTCATGGGAAGTAAAGGCGGCTGGCATGATGCTGACCTCATCACTCCCCTAGTGCCGACTGGTCTATCAAATATAAGTTCATAAAAGTACACAATATTTACAAAATTTCAAATAAGAAATAGGATTATATGTGATCATATATTCCATGAACCACTGGCATACAATGGTCCTTTATTGTTTCCTTACAGTATGCAACAGTGGGCATTGACGTACTGTCCAAGTGGAAATCTAAAGAGAGGCTGACCATGCAAATTAGTGATGGATGTAATATCAGAGTCTATTAAAAACTCCATATATAAGGCACACAAATAAGCACATCCCACTGTTGACACTTCTGATCACCACAAGAGGACCAAGGTGAGATGAGATACTTTCCCTGAAACAGCAGTAGTGGATCAGCTCTCTAGAAAATGAGGAAAAACTTGGAAAGAAAAGCAAATTACCAAACTTTATTTCAAAAGGGTTGAGAATTAATTTAATTCCACAAATATTTTGGGCACATAAGATCACAAGTGACGACATGAAGATAAAGTAAAATGTTTACCACTGGGAAACATTATCAAAGGAAGAAGATGGAGATGGTTTGGACATGTTTGCAGAATGGCTTGGACATGTTTGCAGAATGCCTTGTGACATATTGGCAAGGACAGCTCTCAGATGCATTGCAGATGGAAAAAGCAGACGTGGGCAACCTATGGAAACCTGTAGATGGACAGTAGAAAGAAAATGAAGGAATGTAAAAATAGCATGAAAAACCACAGGCAGAAAAGCGACAGACCTACAGCAATGGAGATTACTAGTAAATGCCTTATGTGCCAATAGTAACATGAAGAGAATATAGACGTTGAAATATTAATGAAGCAAATTTTCAACTGAGATCTCAAAGCCCAAGTGAATATAGACTGCAGATTTTAATGAAACAATGTAGTAAAACAAACAAGAAAAAGCAACCATACCTCCAGTAATTTCTGCTGTTCATTCTTCTGTCCCTGTTCAGTTCCTAGCAAGACTGCACGCTGAGCAAACAGGAGAGCTTTAGACAAACTATTCTTTTGACACTGGTTGCACAGTTCATTGAAATCTCCTATGTTCACTGCTGAATTCTGTGTCTGCTTCTGAATTTAATTTAGAAAGAAAAAAAAATATATTTATTACTGTTAACATACACTTTATAACTGAAAATATTGGATAAATGACTCAATGACTGGTACCTATAAAGAACAGCAAGTTGCACAGGATGCACTTCTTACAACAATAGAAGTTGAAAATTTGAAACTGCCCATTTGTTGTAACTGCTGCTTTCACTGATGACGAACTACAGTTCTAGTGGTGGAATGTTTGTGTTGACACTTCTGGCAGCTGCCTTTTGCATCTGATGTGTAGGTAAGCTGTTGGCTTTGCCGCCAATATAGCCCAGTTCTATTTTTCTTCACAAAGAAGGTATTCTGTGTGGTATTGACTGTCACAGGAATGAAACACTTATAGAGTGACCTGTTTGTTGTATAGCTGGAACCGTGACTAACTGACTAACTAACTAACTAACTAACTAACTAACTAACTAACCAACCAACCAACCAACCAACCAACCAACCAACCAACTAACTAACTAACTATCTAACTAACTAACTAACTAACTAACTAACTAACTAACTAACTAACTAACTAACTAACTAACTAACTAACTAACTAACTAACTAACTAACTAACCAACTAACTAATTAATTAACCAGCTAACTAACTAACTAACTAACTAACTAACTAACTAACTAACTAACTAACTAACTAACTAACTAACTAACTAACTAACTAACTAACTAACTAACTAACTAACTAACTAACTAACCAACCAACCAACCAACCAACCAACCAACCAACCAACCAACCAACCAACCAACCAACCAACCAACCAACCAACCAACCAACCAACCAACCAACCAACCAACCAACCAACCAACTAACTAACTAACTAACTAACTAACTAACTAACTAACTAACTAACTAACTAACTAACTAACTAACTAACCAACTAACTAATTAATTAACCAGTTAACTAACTAACTAACTAACTAACTAACTAACTAACTAACTAACTAACTAACTAACTAACTAACTAACTAACTAACTAACTAACTAACTAACTAACTAACTAACCAACCAACCAACCAACCAACCAACCAACCAACCAACCAACCAACCAACCAACCAACCAACCAACCAACCAACCAACCAACCAACCAACCAACCAACCAACCAACCAACCAACCAACCAACCAACCAACCAACCAACCAACCAACCAACCAACTAACTAACTAACTATCTAACTAACTAACTAACTAACTAACTAACTAACTAACTAACTAACTAACTAACTAACTAACTAACTAACTAACTAACTAACTAACCAACTAACTAATTAATTAACCAGCTAACTAACTAACTAACTAACTAACTAACTAACTAACTAACTAACTAACTAACTAACTAACTAACTAACTAACTAACTAATTAACTAACTAACTAACTAACCAACCAACCAACCAACCAACCAACCAACCAACCAACCAACCAACCAACCAACCAACCAACCAACCAACCAACCAACCAACCAACCAACCAACCAACCAACCAACCAACCAACCAACCAACCAACCAACTAACTAACTAACTAACTAACTAACTAACTAACTAACTAACTAACTAACTAACTAACTAACTAACTAACTAACTAACTAACTAACTAACTAACTAACTAACTAACTAACTAACCAACTAACTAATTAATTAACCAGTTAACTAACTAACTAACTAACTAACTAACTAACTAACTAACTAACTAACTAACTAACTAACTAACTAACTAACTAACTAACTAACTAACTAACTAACTAACTAACTAACTAACTAACTAACTAACTAACTAACTAACTAACTAACTAACTAACTAACTAACTAACTAACTAACTAACTAACTAACTAGCCAATTAAAATCCTTGATATACAAGGTTAACTCCTTCAGCAGCAAAGAAATCACAATTTCTTAATTAGTTACTCCTTATATGGTACACATTTATTATGCTCGCTTTGCCTAATTCTCATGTTATCCCATTCTATGTAACTTTTTTTGCAGCTATTCCTGTGCTAAAGCTGTCATTTGAAAAAAAAAAAAAATATATATATATATATATATATATATATATATAAGAAGACCAAATAATTGTTAGTTTAAAGTACAATTTTTTTTAAAGACAGCCTTGAATTAACAACAACCCAGAACTGAAAGAGTTATATAACAATTGGCTGTGAGAAACATTAAAGTGACCATTCATATCCTCCTAAAAGTTTGGCTTCAAAATTGACAGAAAAACTGCATGTGTTTGATTTACTAGGTAATAACAGTGTCCCTTTGAAACTGGTCTGATCTTTCAAAGTTTGCAATAGTCCACAAGCCACTTCTGATGCTGAATGAAGCAGTGGGTATTAACTGTCTCTGAGAGTGGTACTACACATTGAGAGATCATGAACCTGTGACCTTCTCACCCCCAAACAAGCATTTCCATCTGTTACTAATCCCTGAAAGCCATTCAACTTGCATTCTGACACTGGCAAATCTCAAAGAAGCCTATTGCATGGCTTTTGTCTGAGTCTGTATAGTATTTTTGAAAACTGGGTTATTATAATATACTAAAAATAGCTGGGGGTGGGGGGGGGGGGGAGGGGGTACACGGATGGTTAAAAACATTTAGCCATTAAAACAATGGCTTTCTTAGCCACAATTAGATCATAATTCTCTCTGAACTTTTAGTGATTGTGGTATGAGATCAGATAGTATGAGCCACCATAAGAATTATGTTTTTTAAGGCCAATTGGACAGTAGTGTTAGTTCTCCACTCTGTTCATTACTATCTTGTATTTATTTCTTTACAAACAGAAAAATGTTTATAAAAAAATTTGCAAACATTTATTAGTTACTGTAAAATGGCTGCTTGTTAAAGCATTAAGGGGATGAAGGGAGGGGAGGTTATGTTTATAAAGAAGTTCACATCTAAATGTGAAAAAACTCTTTAAAGTTTGTTTAGTTTCCTAACAAGTTCAAAAGTGATGATACATTTCTGGGTTAGTTTATCGCTCTAGGTTCTCACAGACTGCTGAATAACCTGTTTGAAACAGTCCTGTGGATGCAAATAGGGGTGACTATCACATCCTTCGCAAACATAATGGATCCTCCTGGGTTTATCTCATCAGAACTGCTAGATTCTCTAACGGCTGACTGCTCAGCTGCTGCTTGTGTAAATACACCCCAAATCACTTTTTCTTTTTACATGTAAGTTTTCATTATCATTTTCAAAATGAAAAACATCTCAGTGAAACAATTTCAGAGCTTCAGCTGAAGAAAGCCACATTTTGCGGTTTGTGCTTGTTTTCAGATCACTAGTATCAATGGCCACTCGAAGACAAAGTCAGAAAATTTGCTGTCTGAAAATTACGCTAGCAATGAATTGAAAAAATATGCGCCTTAATGTATGAATGAAGACTTGTAAATAAAGTAAAAACGCGAGAGTAACCTTTCCTGAATATTTTAATTAAAAGCGAATACACAGCAGTATGCAAATCAATATGTACAGGAGACATAATCAGTGCAGACAGTGGTTTGGTCAAATTAGAAATTCTCAATCAACACACACTTTTTTGCTCAGGCTTGAAAGATTAAAAGAGTGAAAATGCTAATCAACTTCACCTCTTTCTTGTCCATCTTGGTCATTTTACTCTTCCTCTTGTCAGGTGTACTGGGAGTTTCTGACAAAGCGAGAGAGAAAACAAAACAATGCAGAACAAAAAACAATTTAAAAAAAACAAAAACACTTAAAGATAAGGAATTTAAAGTGGGAACACAATTTATTTTCAGGTTTCCAAACAAAATGAGCAATGATCTGTATACAATCTTTTTTTTTCAGCTTTCCAATAAATTTGGAGATGTGCACATTTTTTTTCTGATTTCCCTCTTCCCACCTCAAATCCCACACACATAAAATGTTGGATATGTACTTATGGAGAAAATAAAACCCAGATCAAGGCAGAAATCAGAACAAACCTTAACAATTTTCATCCAGAACACAATCCTGAAGACTCAATTAAGTTCCTCAAATGAAAAAAAAACAGACCATTATAATTATTCTGTGAACTGGAAACAAAGAATGGATATCCTCCAAATAACGGACTTCCAGAGACTACAGCCACGAGTATCTCCAACTCCGCTACGCATGGTGTGGAGCAGGGATAAACTAGATGGCTGGGACTCACAAGCAAATAAAATGAAGGAAGCTGCTGCTCGTGAGTCCCAGCCATCTAGTTTAGCCCCACTCCGCGCCGCGCGTAGTGGTAAGGGAGATACTCTGGGCGGTGGCGGTAGTCACCTGAAGTCCACAATTTAGGTCACCGCCGCCATAATATGTGCCCATTATTCGGAGAATAAAGAATCTGCAGCCACATGTACAGGATATACACAAATGGAGCCTCAGAACATTGTCCACGTGGACAGGCACCCAAATACTCAACAACTGCTGCAGACATTCCTTCATGATGCAGTAGAAAGATCTCAGGTCTGTCCAGTGGGGAGTCTAGTGAAAGCCCCTGCTGTAGGGATCAGTGGGGGACATGTGTCGCACCACAGCTTTTATAGAAGCATGTCACCTTCTCATGGGAAAGTCATGAGCAGGGAGAAGGAAACAAAAAAGAAAAAGAAATCACATAACCCAAATTATCACATGAAAAAAAAAAAATGGATGCTGGTTTAACAAGAATTACTGAAGAGTGCATTACCTGATTCAAGAGCAGACAATTTCAAACATATTCTGTGGTAGACCAGAATCAGCTCCACTTGCAGGTCTCTGATAATGTTACCCAGTGCGCCAGTTTGCTTGTTCAATGTTTCTGATAACAAATAGGCAGTGTTTGTACTTCCATCTTTCTGTTTAGATTTGTCTTGGGGCAGGCCAGATGTTGCAGTATCTTGGTAAAATTCCTTTCAGAAAATATAAATAAATCTTCAGTTTATGTGATCCCCTGGGAGCCATGGTAGCATATTAGCTGCACGCTCATCTGCTGGCCCAA